AGCCAAAACCCTGGGGGCTCTGCAGAGAAGGACCAGGACACGATCAGAGGACAGGACAAACACAAAAAACCCTCTCATTCCACTGGCCGCCAGGGACCAAGACATGAACCATGGAATAAACTAAAACTACCAAACAGACAAATGGAAAACAAACAATGATCTGGCCCTGATCGCTCAGACTGAACCGAATATAAAGCATAGATGCAGGTGGAAAAGATGAGTAAAATTTAGGAACCGGGCAGAACTAGGCAGGTGAGTGAAATTAACAATTAAGGTGAAGCTATCAGGCCAGATCATGACACTATGGACTTATCTGGTCTGAGATTCCGGGAGGGAACCATACTTGAGTCGTGAATTCAACCAATTATTATAATGTAACTGTAATGTAATCTGCTTATGTATCCTTTTAATTGATTAATTGATTTCAGCTTTAATGTTGTTACATGTATTTGTGTATGCTTGTTTTTTCCATTTCCATACTCTGTATCAATCTTTTTTAACATATTGTTACAGGTTGCGCTGATTTTTTTATTGGCTTAGTTATTTTTATTTATTTTTCCTGTCTTTTACTGTGTGGCTTTTTGGTTTTTTTTGTTGCTGTCGTTGTGGCAGTTTGTTTGTTCCCCTTGTCATGTTTAGTATAAGAAGCTTTTATGCTTTTGTACAAAGCTTTTCCTGTATAAGCTGAAAAAGGTAATATAGATTTTTTTTTTAAGTATGTAAAGATAAAATCAAGGTAGTTTATTTCAAAGGAGGAATCAATAATGAAAGAGATGAACCAATCTGATACCTGGATCGAATATTGACCATTTTGCTGGAACGGATATCAGTCCAGTGCACTTTACATGTGTTGGGATCTGGAGCTGTACCACCTTCCTCCAGCAGAGTGCGCCGTGGGTCTCCCGGAGCTGGAGTCTTCCAGCACACCTGAGACGTATCTTCTCATCAAGAGACCTGACCTTTATAACCAGCTGCCAGACCTTGCTTCGACGCCGCAGTGTTGACCTAGTTTGGTTAGCGACCTGAGCCTTGAACCAGAAGAATCTTAGCTATCTCTAGAGAGAGATCTGATTCTAACTCTCCCTTGTTTTTGCCTCACAGGAAACCTGTCTCAATCTGAAGCTCTGGATGAGCTTAACCTAGCTTAACATTCTTGTATGGATTCCCCTGCTGCTCTTAGTTAAGAGCTGGAAACTCTGATCTAGGTCTGTCATTAAAGTCAGAAGCTAGACGCTGCAGCTGCTCTTGGACTCTGCTGAACAAACAGTCTCTGGACCCAACGGTTCCCTCTCTCTCAAAGAGAAGCCCGGACTCTATCAAGGTATATCTTGAACTATCAAAGACTCATAACTCATCAGCCTGCTTCCTAATCAAACTATCATCTCTGCAGACTTCAGTGAACCAGCCGGGACCAGTTCCTGATCCAGTTCATGATCTTGTGTTTTGTGTATATTCAATAAACTCTGTTAAACTTTTACCCAGCCTCCGTTGTGTTCTGCATGTGGGCTAAGAACTTAAGACCCATCATGACAACATGGATCTGTTATTTATTTATTATTATTCATTATCTGTTCATAAATGAAATATATGTACATCTGTGTTCATTTTTAACCTTTTATAACAATGTTTATTCAAGTCGAAAGCCTTCACTCACACGGTAAGATATACAGTTCATTCATTCAACAGTTGGATTGTGTCGGATATCGGCCGATACGCTCAGCCCAGGTATTGGATTGGATCAGGAAAAACTGGATCAGTCCATCTCTAACTCATGTTATGTGTTGTAAAATAAAGAATGTTTACCTTTTAAATTACAACAGTGCCGTTGGAAGCAGGATTTTGCCCCTGCCACCGGAGGGTTTGTTATAAACTTCACCCGCATCACCTACTGATGGCGGTCGGAGTGTCTGGTGGCGCCAGTATACGGCAGCCTCGCTTCTGTCATTAAGCCCCAGGGCAGCTGCGGCTACAACCATCATGTGGGTGTGTTTATGTGTGTGTGTGTGTGTGTGTGTGTGTGAATGGGTGAATGACAGTAGTGTAAAGCACTTTGGCCAAATCCTCTGACTTGTTAAAAGCACTATATAAGTACAGGCCATTTACAATTTAACTTTTTCATGAGATCTTAAATAGAATTACTGTAACAAAAAAGATGATACTGTAGTTTACCTTAAAACAATGCATTTTAAAAGTTTATTTATTGAACGGTTTATTGATTTACTGATGGAGCATACATATTTAAAATCTGTGCTGTGTTGTGAAAATGATCATTTTCTACAGCATGCAGCATTTTCTACGGTAAAGTTTCCATCTTTAGAGGGAGAACTTTTAGCACTTTGAACCCAAGTATTTCTGCATGGAGTTTGCTTGTTCTCCCCATGAATGTTTGGATTCTCTCTGGGTACTCAGGCTTTCTCCCACAGGCAAAAAGCATGACTGCAAGGTTGGATGGTAATTTCAAATTGCCCTTAGACGTGTCTGTGTTCACATGGTTGTGCGTCTCCTTGTTGCCCTGTGGTGTACTGGTGATCTGTCCAAAGTGTGCCCCACCATTTTGCCCATAGACTCCTGGAGATAGAAACCAGCACCCCCCATGACCAGGACAGAAAAACAACGGAAGATGGAGTTTTAACTTCAAGAAAATTCAAGAGCAACAAGTTTTCAAATGTAATATATATATATTTTTTCTCACAATAATTGACAAAATCCCATCTTTTAATGAACACATCTTGATTACCTGAATTTATATATGTCTCTCCATAAGCCCAGTTAGCTTGTCGCCAAGCTTATTTTTTTGCAGCCAGCCTTCCCTTTTTTTGATGCCAAATAAACAAAATTTTGCAAAGTTTTTTTAAAGACTACACAGAAAATCTGCATGAAAGCTTTCCTTTGCAGTTTTAGAGATATTATGGAGATTTAATCTGTTTTATTTGTCCATAAAGTTTGATTTAGATTAGAAACCACATGTGGGCATTGTGACCAGAGTATGAGCATTCTTGTGCTGCAACCAACTCTCGGTATATAAGAACATGTTTCTGCACTTGAATTCCCTTTGTTGGGTAATTATTAGATGGAGAAAATGTTTCCTTGCAGCAATATGTGTGGGCTAGGTCTCTTTAACCTTTCTCTTTCTTTCACAGAGACTCCTCCACCGTCGGGAGGTAATGGATAACTTGACATAAGCAACCTGAGTGGGAGAAGAAGAAACATCTCAGAAGATGAGATGAGTATGAACCTGATGATCAAAAAAATAGAAGTTAAATTGACAACGGTCAAAATGTCCCCAAGCTTTTGTAGGAAGTTTGGAAATTAGCTTTAAGGAAGAATATATTGTGCCTGTTTGTATTCTTGCTTCTCACAGTTCACCAATCTGGACAGAAAAACCCTGTTTCCATAGCAATATTACTGAGAGCAATACAACCAACAAAACCCAAAATGAAAGAGCCTCTGCTGCCCTCTAGGGTATTAATGACAGCGGTACATGCAAATGTACTGCTGCTTTATATTTTAAAAACTAGACAAATGTCTGCCTGAATTTTAGGTGACGTAGTGTAACCTGTAGCATTCAAATCAAGTCCAGAGTTCCTGCAATTATTTTCAAAGTAGAAAATTAATCTGGGATAAAAGTATGAACTTGAGAACAGGAAGGGTTTGGATAAATTTAGAAGATGTACTTGACAGCCAAAACTTTGAGTAGAATAAAGGTACCCCCGCCCCCCTCAAAAAACCCCAAAAGCAAAAAGCAAAAAAAAAAAAATAATAATAAAATCTGCTGCATTAAATCATTAAAGTTTCAGGTTGACAAAAGCTATTTTTTTTCTCTTTCTTTAAACCTTTAATAAGTTGTACAGAGGCCCTGCAAGTTTGTCATGAGGTTTTTCTGTAATATTAATTTACATTAGTATCAGTGGTATGGTTTTATAGGTGCAGCTTTTGTTTAACAGGTTGCAAAAGAAATTTCAGATGAAATAAAATAAAGCTAACATAGTTAATATTATAAAATGGTAGCAAGTCTCTTGATTCTCATTACACTTTACATCTTAAATTTGTTTAAAGAATGCATATAAGGCTTTAGATGTAGCTCATTCCTGCAGACCATGTTATGTGTTCCTTAAGAAGAAAACAGAATCAGCACTAGATTAGACATGACTTATCAAAACAAGCTGGTTGAAACTAATGCAATGTTATTGTCAGCTACAGAGAGCGTTGTATACTCTGGTTATACCCGGTAATATTCATACGCTGGAAAAAATCCAAATCTAGATAAGTAATTTTTCCTTAAAATAATTGCATTTGCTCTTGGATTGAGGAGGTAAAAGAGCCATATTGCCAATAGAACAAGACTATTTACACTTAAAATAAGAAAACACAATTGCATTGTCTTATTTCAAGTGCATTTTATGTAAATATCTTATTTTTATAGTAAACATCCTCATTTCATTTGCAAACTGTCTAATTTACCTACAAAAATTAAGGGTAAATACACTTAATTTAAGACATTTTTACTTATTTCTAGATAATTTTTCCAGCGTATATACCCTTACTGATATTATGCGAGCATAAGACTGTTCAGGTACCACTAATAATTCTTGAAAATCAACTCTAAGCATTCCATCCCAAAATCATTGATAATTTCTTTTTCTTATCTTCTAACTTTAATTCATATCAAATAACTTCAAAAACAATTGAAACAAGTTCCAATTTATTCAGATTCAAATACAGATTTACCTAACTTACGTTTTAGCAAATTGTAATATGGTGTAGTGTGGATAGTTAAGATATATCACAATTTAATCGAATACCCCTCAATAATCCGACAAAAACAATGGTAAAGAAAACAAAACCAGTTTGATTCTCGTTACAAATGTAGTCTGTCACCTAATTTTCGTGTTTTAGTTGCTGATCATTTTCCTCTCCTAACATGGCGGTCACGTTGACGTCTACTTTGCAGTTTTGTCATACGTAAGCGACAGACTTCTCATTGGTCGTTGTTCGGAGCGTTGATTTGATTGGCCCATCAGTGTTCCTTTGGAACAGAGTCCGACAAGAAACACGTACATGTCGTGATTTCGGACCGCTAGCCGATGAGCATCACATCCTCGCGCTGCTGTAACAGGTGTTTAATTTGTTAATTCCATGCAACTGGCGTTATACACGCCCCAAGTAAAAATGTTTCTTGCTGTTTTATGGGATTTATTCCGTATTTGTCTTAGTAAGACGGGCTAGCTAGCTAGCTAACGTGGTTTTTAACCTAGCTACTGCTTTAGCGTTCATTCGATCCATTATAAACGCCATAAATGCTAAATTAATAGGTTAATAAATACGATTATGTTGGCTTTCTACTAGATTTTTAGATCTGTTTAAGCAAATGTTATCCATTTCACCGAACCTCAGCAACGCAGCAACTCGTCCAACATTGTGTAGCTTTTAACAATATTTTAATGATTTTATTTTTCTTATTATTCGTCAAATGTATTATAACTGATATTTTTCGGGTTTTATTTTTTCTTTCTCCAAATGAATACACGTTGTGTCCCTCAAGAGTCAAAACATGTACATGGTTGTTTATATAATTAGAGTATTTTAGCTAAACTGTCTCTGCATGTGTTTGTTTCTCCTCATCAATATTTTTAATAGGTTTTAAAGCAAGGTTAGTAAAGTAACCAGAATGATCTTTTTATACTAGGATTTCAAATTAATCTGAGACTGATCTGAGGGAAGACTTGGTGAAATAAAAGCAGTGGGAGTTCTGTCCCCCTTTTGCATTTTTATCTATCTAATAACAAGACCTCAGTTTTTTCTTTATAGTTTAGTGTGTATAAGTGCCAGTGTTGTCACCACATGAAGCTGTTGTGAAAATGTTATTTACATCAGAAAGTTTGCCTTCATACAGAAGCTCATCATTTTAATGTGTTTATTATTCTGTCCACAGTCATGTCATTTCCACAGGATCGTGGGGGTCCGCGGGGAGGGATGCCCCCAGGCCAGCACGGCACCCCTCAGAACTACCGTCCCAGCAACCTGAGGCCACCGGCCCCGCAGCCTCCGGCGCCGGCGTACCATTACGATCCACAGACCCCGCCTGGTTCAGGTTACCACGGCAGCGCAGGCTTCATGCCCCCACACCCTGACTTTATGCAGTACCCTCCTCCAGCTCCATCCCAGACCCCCATTCCTCCAAATCAGTGCCCGTTGCGCCCACCTTTTCCGAAGCCCCCTCCTCGGCACGGCTTTCCTGAACCTCCACCAAATTTTCCACCTCCCCCTCTACCCAGCTCAGCAGCAGGTCAGACTCCAGGCTCCCAGGTCTCTGCACAGAGCCCCTATCACCCCTACATGATGCCACCTGTGCCCCCACCTCCATTACCTCATCCAGCCATGCCTCCACCCATGGCCTCTCAGTCTATGGCCTACCACCCTCCATACCCTATGAACTACCCTCCCCACCCTCCTTTTCCCCCTCCCCCTTTTGGCCCCAGCTACCCTCAGAATGCTGGCCCCTTTCAGCCAGACCACAGCGTCAGACACGGGGGGCCATACTCGTACGAGAAGCCAGTGGACAGCAGGAGGTCTCCAGAAAGAGGGTACCGCCATGATGACCACAGGCAGAAGGGCTACGGCTACAGCGACAGGCACAAAATGGAGTTTAGCGGAGAGAGGAAGGAGCGTGGGAGGAGTCCGGATAGACGTGGACGGGCGGAAGGGGGACGTTATAAAGGAGATTACGATAGAGCGAGGAGTCCCCCCCGACACAGGAGCAGGGAGAGAAGCAGGTACCTTACATGGACCAAACCCTTCCATCATTATTATCAACTGAATGTTTTCCCAATCCTGAATGTGTTTGTTTACAGGGAGAGGTACCGCCACAGAGAGGTCCGGAGATCCCAGTCACCTGATAGATACAGGAAGAGGCCTCGGAGGTACGCATGTTCTCCTTTTATGGTTCACAGCGAGAAGAAAAAATACACCACGCCAGGACCCCCCTCCAAACATCTCAGCATATTTCTCAAATCTGTTTATGTACGAAATGTATGAGACGAATAGAAGGGGCAGATGTATCCCAGAATGCTTTGCGTGGAGAGCTCTCTTCACAAAGCACTATGGGATTTGCTGTCACAGTGGCCCGCTGTTGCTACCCGACAGCGGCGACTAATAACAAAGATGGCGCAGGCACTGCGCAGCGGACCAACGGGGAAGGGATCATTAGGGCCCTATAAAATCCCTTTAATTTTTTCCCAAATTCAATTTTTTCCGTTTTAATCTTTGAAAATTCAGTTTTTTCCATTTTATATATGTATTTCTGCGCTTCCAATCAATGGAATGTTGACAAAACTTGCAAAACAATAGTTCACCTGACACGTAAAAGTCACGAGGGAACTTCTTGGTTCTGTACTCAGGGCTTTTTCGCCGAAAGCAGAGCTGTGAAGAGCCGCTTCGTCATTTTTTCAATGTTTTGATGGGGGAGGGTGAGCGGAAATGACGGAGCGGGAGGGGTTGTGTCACCCAGATTTGCGTCCCCCGGTGTGCATTTCTCCCCGACGTACGTTTTTCTCCCACACTTAAACAGAATTTCATTTTAAATGTAGAAATTCCGCGTTCACATTAGACTCTGCGTTAATTTGCCAATTCCGCGATTCCGTCCGCAATTCCGTGATCACGGAAATTATAATGCCCTAGATCATCTGTCTGGACGGTCAGTTAGCTAAGTTCACTATAAAGTCCACTATATAGTCTCCGCTCTATATAGTGATTGAGGGGTTAGGGTGGACATTTGTTCACAGTTAGCTTGTATGAGTTATAAGAACAGCAACTTTTAAATGGAGCGTGCACAAGGAGAAATGGGCTTGTGCACAGTCTCACATGCACATTTTTTTTTTTAAGTGGAGAGGGCGGTTCTTTATAAAAATTTGAGAAAATCCTCCATAATACCTTTAATTGACTTTCATAAAAGTATCATATCGATTTGCACAGAATAAAGTTCGATTTAACATCAGTTCCTATTGATCTAATCCAGTCCTACAGCCAGAATAAACTGTTTTTAAATGAATGCCTGAAACCAAAAGGGTCTCTCTGCTAGGAAGAGGGTTGGGCATCGCTTGAATTGGAACGATTCCGGCTCTTATTACTCGCTTTAATTCACGATTCAGGTCATGTTAAGAAGAAGAATCATAAAAGTTTGTTCCCTGCTAAAACAAAGTTTGTGAATTCAGTTAAATAATTGTTAAAATATATCTGTCATTTGTGTGTTTTTAAGCTTTCTTCCTCTATGGGAAGAAAGCTAAAGTGTTTCTTTTTAGCTTTCCTCCCTGTATGGAAAGAAATCTAAAGTGTTTCTTGTGAATTTGGTCTTAAATTTTTATTTCAAGTGGTATTAAAAAGTCTTAAAAAGTCTTGAATTTAACTTGCCTTATGCTGTAGGAACCCTGACTAATACAACTTTGAATATAGATAACAAAGGAGGAGTGCCCACAAAGATAATTACAGCAATAGCACAGTAATAAACGCCTATAGAAAATCTACAGTTGAACACGGAAGCAATAAGCCATTATTATATATGGTAGGCAAAGACATTATATGAAGGTTCACTGATTCAATATTTATTTTGACATTTGTAGTGAACATTAAAACCTGTTTACTGCTTAGACTTGACAGAAAGTGTTTTAATTCCAGGTTTATAGCATCATTTTCTATGAATCATTCATATCTCTAAGCACTGATGGGAGAGAATGCTCCGTCCTTCATGTTTTAAAGGAGACATTTAGAGACTGCATCCACAGCTCCACTGGATTCTGCCTGGAAAGAGATGCGGCACAAAAAACAGACTAGATCTTTCAGGTTTCTTGGGATTTCATAAAATTTGCTCAGAATTAAGAAAATGTAATTATTATTTAAATTTATTTATTTGAAAATTTTGTCAAATACTCCTGTTTCATTTTAGACTAGTTTGAGTCTGGAGATGTTAGTCATCCTTTTTGTCCTGAACTGTTTTCACTTCATATTTAGTCAGATTGCATTTGACAAGAACGCATTGACTAAAAGAAGTTGTAATCCAAGAAATTTACCCTTTTTTCCCCACAACATCTAACTCTTTCAGTTGGAAAACCAGCAGAGAGTTGTTCACCTGGAAACATGTGAACATTAAATCCAAAAACCTCTAAATGAAAGCTCTGTTTGATCACGCTGTACACTCACCGGCCAGTTTATTAGGTACACCTGTCCAACTGCTCGTTAACACTTAATTTCTAAGCAGCCAATCACATGGCGGCAACTCAGTGCATTTAGGCATGTAGACATGGTCAAGACAATCTCCTGCAGTTCAAAGCGAGCATCAGTATGGGGAAGAAAGGTGATTTGAGTGACTTTGAACGTGGCATGATTGTTGGTGCCAGAAGGGCTGGTCTGAGTATTTCAGAAACTGCTGATCTACTGGGATTTTCACGCACAATCATCTCTAGGGTTTACAGAGAATGGTCCGAAAAAGAAAAAACATCCAGTGAGCAGCAGTTCTGTGGGCAGAAATGCCTTGTTGATGCCAGAGGTCAGAGGAGAATGGCCAGACTGGTTTGAGCTGATAGAAGGGCAACAGTGACTCAAATAACCACCCGTTACAACCAAGGTGGGCAGAAGAGCATCTCTGAACGCACAGTACGTCGAACTTTGAGGCAGATGGGCTACAGCAGCAGAAGACCACACCGGGTGCCACTCCTTTCAGCTAAGAACAGGAAACTGAGGCTACAATTTGCACAAGCTCATCGAAATTGGACAATAGAAGATTGGAAAAACGTTGCCTGGTCTGATGAGTCTCGATTTCTGCTGCAACATTCGGATGGTAGGGTCAGAATTTGGCGTCTACAACATGAAAGCATGGATCCATCCTGCCTTGTATCAACGGTTCAGGCTGGTGGTGGTGGTGTCATGGTGTGGGGAATATTTTCTTGGCACTCTTTGGGCCCCTTGGTACCAATTGAGCATCGTTGCAACGCCACAGCCTACCTGAGTATTGTTGCTGACCATGTCCATCCCTTTATGACCACAATGTACCCAACTTCTGATGGCTACTTTCAGCAGGATAATGCGCCATGTCATAAAGCTGGAATCATCTCAGACTGGTTTCTTGAACATGACAATGAGTTCACTGTACTCAAATGGCCTCCACAGTCACCAGATCTCAATCCAATAGAGCATCTTTGGGATGTGGTGGAACGGGAGATTCCCATCATGGATGTGCAGCCGACAAATCTGCGGCAACTGTGTGATGCCATCATGTCAATATGGACCAAACTCCCTGAGGAATGCTTCCAGCACCTTGTTGAATCTATGCCACGAAGAATTGAGGCAGTTCTGAAGGCAAAAGGGGGTCCAACCCGTTACTAGCATGGGGTACCTAATAAAGTGGCCGGTGAGTGTATATTTCAACGAGGCAGAACTTATTTATCCCCTTATTCATATTTCCTACTAAGAGAAGAAACAAAGCAGAAGGAGAAAGTTTGATAATGAGGAAAGTTATCAGTATATCCCTAACAGGACAGCTTTTAAATAGAAATACTGTTTTAATCATAGTTTTAAACATAGATGAAGTTTCGATCTACTGCAGTTCTGATTAGTTTTCTCAAAGACTAAAACTATAATAGACATTTTTATTTTGACCACTTTAAGACTTAAAAAAGCTGAGCGAAAGCTAAAAAAGTGTAAAATGTCTTCCGTTTTTAAATTCCCAATGACAGTGGACATCTAGAGACAGCTTTCTGGTTCTTTCTTCTCTATGTTGAATTCTTAGCAAAAACGGTACTGTTTTAAAGAGTCTTTAATTTCTGAACATGTCGAAGCAGCTTTTTTACACCCTAAAGCCCATCCAAAGATACATTTGGAGAAAAAGCAACCAAAATGCAAAATTAAGCATGAAAAGTATGTTCTTTAAGGTTGTAGGACAGAAACTATACCTGAATAGGAGCTGATCGATATATTGGAAAGGAATTATACATCATAATTCAATTCTAGATCCTTTTTAGAATCCTCCGAAAAAATTCATTCAATGTAAAAACTTCTTTGATTTACTACCTGGTCGCCATGACAACTCTTCAGACACAAATAATGTTTTTTGCTGCTAAGATTCAAAGCTTCTGTTTGGTGTTTGCACACTTCTATTAACGTTGTTTTATTTTGGGACGTGTAGTCGCTCATCCAGCAGAGACAGGAAGCGAGGTCGCTGGGAGGACGAGAAGGAGCGGAGGGCCGACAGCTCCTCCGGGCCGAGCAGGGAGCGAAGCTACTCCTCCCTCCGAAGCCGGGACTCCGAAGACTCTTTCGGGGAGCGAGAGAGACAGCGGGAGAGAGAGAAGGACAGGGGGGAGGAGGAGGAGGACGAGCTGCTGAAACCCGCCTGGATCCGCTGCACTCACGCCGAGAGCTACTACTCCAACGACCCCATGGACCAAGTGGTACCTTCTTTTTTTTTTTTCTACTCTTAGCTCACATTTGGGCCTGCTAGTTCATCAGGTGCTCTCATGACACCTCAGGCTGCCTTTTCAGATCACCTCCTGCGCCCTAAAGGCCTTCTCCGATGCTTTGGCACCTTCTCCAACCCTCTGACCTTTACAAGAAATCTCTGTGAGCTCCAGCAAATTACAGCAAGAGGCAGGAACCCCGGCTGCTCTTTTAGGAACACCGGAGCGACTGCAAATGTCGAAGGAAACTGATTTATGGCGACTGTCTCGGCTCTTTCTAGCAGCAGACTGAGGAAGATATCACTGAGTAAAAAAAACAAAGGTTGTGAGGTGACTTTGGCACCGAGATCGAAGGTTAAATGGGTCCAGTTTATCGAACTGAAAGCACGATAATTTAATCTGCGTCTCTAAGCGCCTCGTTTAGGCGCAAAATTAAGTTCTCACCGTTTTATAAGTGAAGTTGCAGCAGAATATTTGTCACTTTTCTAAAGCACTCAGACTCCGTTTGTAATGATGATCTTTATTATTTGATTGGCCGACAAAGCGACTGGATTCACGAGCTTTTTCAGACTCTAGAAACAGAATATCTAATTAAGAGATCGCATTAAGCCACTCAGACGGAGCCCACTCTGTCCCGCCATACTCAGACATTCCTGTAAGTGTGACACAGAAAGGTGCATTAAAGCAGAAATGATCTCTGTGTGTTAGATTTCATATTGTAATGAAAGCTGCACATTAGCTGGAAGAAACGTCTCTGAAAGAGTTGGAGTTGAGTGGTCTGCTGCTGACGCCCTGAGCTCTTTTATCTGAAGGCACTAGAAACCCACAGTTACATACACATAATGAAAGATAAACAGCTGCCTTTACTATTCCGTGATGATAAATCGGGGTGGACTTCTCTGGTTTTAGGTCTGTTAGGATCACCAACATTATTTCCTTTAATCCAAAAAAAAAAAGGAGAAAGAAAATGTATTACAAATTAGGACTCTAATTTCCTTAAATGAGTCATAACCTGGTGCTTTACTGATGAAATCTTTCTGAATTGGCTTTAATTTCATGTTTGATCATTTGTAGCAGAAAAAAAAATACATAGTTTATTCAAAAACCCTTTTCATAGCCCTTCTTTTGTCTTGTGGCTGTTTGACAATTTAACTTGGACGTATGTGCATTCCTGTGGGTGTAGCGTTAGCAACATTAGCAGTTAGCCATGTTTCATTTTCCCATTGTTTCCAGGTCTTTTACACCATAAGTAAAAAGTAACACAAGCACCAGCGCTTACTAACTGCCTGCAGGATAGTCTCTGATTGTTAGAATAGAGACGGTGATAGCAAGGCGGGCTAATGCTTGAGTCTTTTGGAGTTTGCTGTGTTAAACCAAAAGCCCAAATTAAATACACTTTTTCCATTTTCTAAAATTTTTGTCAGGTTTTAACTGAAACCCATCACCAACGCATAGTTGAGCATAAAAAAAGTCTGATTTCTGCATTTTTTGTGGTTTTCCTGTAAGGATTGTTGCTGTGCTTTTGGGGTTACTGTCCATCTGTGGATTCCTTTAAACCCAAGGTTTAAATTCTCAGGCTAATTGGAGATGTTACCTCAGTGTTTTTCTTTTGTTCTGTAAAACGACCCATAGCAGGATGCTACCTCTACCGTACTTTGTAGTTGGAATGTTCATCCCATTTTTTTGTTTGTTACTTTTACAGTGACGACTTCTTCCCTAGTGAGCGGCATTTCAGTCCATGTTGATTCTGGTTTCATTGTGGATAATTTAGTGGTTTTCATTGATATAATTTGGGATCTTTTGGGATTAATAAAGTATTTTTGAATTTAATTGAATAATAACTCAACTTCAGATAGCATCTTCAGAACCTCTCATACTTTAGTTCAGGGGTGTGAGGGATTTGCACAAACCAGCCAGAAAACCACTAAAATTTTTCAAAAAGAAAGTCTTTTATAAAATTATAAACAGGCCCAAAAACAGAGGTCAACAAAACAGAATTCAATTCAGGCTTTAACATAAAGAACTCAAGCACAAACTGACCTAACAAACAGGACATGAGGGAAAGTTAAATAGTAGCTGGTCAAACCACTGTTGACACACAAGGGGGATAACTGACTAACAAACTAATAAACAAATAAACTTAATTAAACAGATAAATACTGGCCAGACACTAAATACTTTTTAAATTTAACTAATTAACAAAATTACCCAAACTAAGAATATTTGAACAAATGATAAACAAATTTCCCTTCCCATTACAAATGGTTTGATCCGCTGATTAGCCTGCAACCAATTGAGGAAAGCTGGAGCTCATTGCAGCCCTCCACCAGCAGATCCAAAGGAAACTGGCAACTCAAAGAAGAAAGAAATTAATCAATTGCATCTCGACAAAACACAACCTGAAAAATAAAGTTAACTAAATGTGTGCACTGCAAAAAGTTAACTTAAAGTCAGGCTAATGAAAATATATGAAATGTGCAACTGATTTTGAAAATGAAAAATGTAAGTTACCACACAGCTTCAGAGTGTGACAGCAGGCTGTCACAAGAGGTTATTTGCACATTTCGCACCAAAACACATTCATCTCTGGAACATAGAGCCTTCCTGAAGGCTATGATGGCTGGATGTAACTATTGTGATTAGAGTTGAATACATTTTTGATCACACACTTATCTCCTCGAAATCTTGACGGAATTTTTCTGTAATGTTAAAAAAGGAAGTGGAACATTTCTTCGAGGAGTTTCCTTTATGATAAAAACAAGAGTTTGCCTCCATTTAGCGGATATCTTTGAGATTGGAGGCTTACAAAATGGTAACAATATTATGTCTGCCTTACTTGTTAATCGTTTCAATCACCTTTGCTAATTTTGAAGAAAGTCGCATAAAAATAATCCCCGTCCATCCATTTAACAAACAGAAATACATGTTGTAATCCTAAAACAGGGATGTTTTTTTAAATACATTTTTTTTTAATACCTCTTGTTCACTAAATTCAAGCAGTCCATAATAACACAGGTCCTTTCTCTATTTCAGGGCGACTCCACAGTTGTCGGCACAAGTAAGCTACGCAGTTTGTACGAGCGCTTCGAGGAAGAGCTCGGAAGGAGGCAGGAGCGAGCCAAAGCCACTCGACCCAAATGGGAGCCGCCCAAGACCAAACTGGATGAGGATCCCGGTAAGGAGCATGAACATTCCTCCCCTCACAGTTATTCAGCATAAAGGCAGCTGACAGCTAGCAATAGGAGTCGACAGTACAAAATACTCACGGTTCTGTACGTACCTCGGTATGGACCCTACGGTTCGGTATGTTTTCGGTATAGTGCAGAAAGAAAAAAACATGAGCCAAACGCTATCCTCTAAGGCAGATTTTTATTATTTTAATTCCCAGCTAAGATAGCTGCAACTTTCTGCACAACAAGTGAACAAGCACCATATTGTCAAATATTGATATACATGAAAGGAGTATATTTATAAGTGCATCAGTGCCAGACATGGCCTTTCTGGGTGTTTGAACATAGGTACAATACAAACGTGCCCTTTTATATTCACATAGCTCTGTGAACATGAGCTATAGGCCTCACAGATAACAGTATAACGTTTTTAAGCCTTGCCTTTCACATTAATCCACTATGTACATCAATTTAAAATTTTAAGATTGGAATATGGGCGCCTAGCAGATGCGGCGTAAATTCCAATTGGTTCGGTAATGTTTTTTGTTCTGCATGCATTCGTATCAAGGGGTTCATGTAATACGTTTGGGAGACGTAATTTGACACTTTTCTTCCGCCTTGTGCCGGTGATAGGGATATCTGGGTGGTGTCGATGGATATGTGTCAACATATTTGAAGTGTTCCCCCTCACGTAATGAACAGGTGTCGAACAACGACGACAGACCGTCTTTGTTTTGTCAACCACTCGCTCTCCATCGCTATTATAACTCACAGGGAACCGAAGTTATCCCACATCATTGACTTGAATGATGGTGGTGGGTCTTTTAATTCTTCGCCACTCGCCATTGTTAGCACTATCTCGCAACAACACAACCCAACAGTGGTACCTTCCCACAGAGTGCAGTTTGTATTTTAAGGTGGCGTTTACTATCTAGACCAATCCAGGCATGTCTATATGTCTACGGACAAATCAAAGCTTGAAGGTGGTATCGGTTAAATGGGTCCTGAAGGAAACTCTTGCAAAATAACAGTTCTGCGTCCAGATCAATATTAAACTTCTGTAACGTATGTAGTGTGAGTGGCAATTCGCGTGCCGATCCATGACGGTTGGGTACGAATACACATACCATGCACATACCCTTAGCTAGTAAGTAGGGAAAAATTGAAAGTCGGATTAAATTGCAGCCTGTTGGCCTCCATATTTTTTTATAGATTGTTGATCGAGCATTGTTGTATGTCAGCTTAAAATTAATTAATGGGATTAAAATTAATCCCATTTCTAAAGGGAGAATAAAACCTAAACAAAATTAGGAGGCAGTTACAGTTTAGGGGAACCCACTCCCAAAGGCAGGATTTGAAAGAAAGCCTCCTGTAGATTCAGGGAAACATACTGTGTGAAAGAAAACAGAAAGCCTTGATGTGCAAATTGTTCAGACGGAGGAAAAGCAGTTTAAGATGAAAAAGTTCCTGAATAGATTAGAAGGTAAAGGAGTGGATTGAGACAGCAGCTTTGTTTTAACCTAAGCACTGAATGTCTCAGGTTTCTGTATCTAGCTGTGAAGGTTTCTCAGTGCCAAAAACAAAGTGCATTAGAACTAATTTGTTTACGATGCTATCTGGATCACTTTGTCTGTGTATTTCAGCTCTATAGCACTGCCATATCATTCCCTCTTCAATCTTGTTTTCTAAATAAGTGGCTCTAGGCTCTGATTAAATAATAAAGTAGCTGGGTTGAAAAGCTGATAAGAGCTGCAGAAGAAGCTTTAGCTAAGAGCTACAAAACTGGTACGCTGTATAGTAATTATAATCCCTAATTTACTGCCAGTTTCTTTTTTTCTGAAATAATTGTCGATGCAGAAAGAAATGAAGCGACACCAGAAGAGTTGCATTAAAAAAGCAAACCCTTAAAGTCAGTGGTAACTAGAAATTGATGTGTATTAGCTAAGCAGACCAGCTCTGATTACAGGAACCTTTACCTGCTCTGATGATTAAAGACGTTTCTGCCCTTTATCCTTTCCAGACGACAGCAGCAGTGAGTCAGACTGCGAATCCGACGGCGAAGGAAGCAGCTGCTCCAGCAGCTCTGACTCTGATGTTTTTGACGTCATCGCTGAGATCAAAAGGAAGAAAGCTCATCCTGACCGCCTGCACGAGGAGCTGTGGTACAACGACCCTGGACAGGTCAGCAGTTTCCTTCCTTCCTTTTTTCCTTCCTTCCTGAATGATCAGAACTTCCTTCCTTCCTTCCTTTTTTCCTTCCTTCCTTTTTTCCTTCTTTCCTTTTTTCTTCCTTCCTTTTTTCCTTCTTTCCTTTTTTCCTTCCTTCCTGAAAGAATGAATGAATTAATGAATGATCAGAACTTCCTTCCTTTCCTCCTTCCTTCCTTCCTGCATGAATGAATGAATGATCAGACCTTCCTTCCTTTTTCCTTCCTTCTGTTTTCCTTCCTTCCTTTTTTCGTTCTTTCCTTCCTGAATTATCAGACCTTCCTTCCTTTTTCCTTCCTTCCTTTTTTCCTTCCTTCCTGAATGATCATAACTTCCTTCCTTCCTTCCTTTTTTCCTTCCTTCCCTTTTCCTTCCTTCCTTTTTTCCTTCTTTCCTTTTTTCTTCCTTCCTTTTTTCCTTCTTTCCTTTTTTCCTTCCTTCCTGAAAGAATAAATGAATTAATGAATGATCAGACCTTCCTTCCTTTCTTTCTTCCTTCCTGAAAGAATGAATGAATGAATGAATGATCAGACCTTCCTTCCTTTTTCCTTCCTTCTGTTTTCCTTCCTTCCTTCCTTCCTTCCTTCCTTCCTTCCTTCCTTACGTACTTACTTACTTATTACCCATTTAAAAGTGTTGTTAATAACACAGTCTTTCTCAGCACTGATTGTTGGATTACACTACAATCTAAAAGCTTCCACTTCATTGAAACAATGTGGTAAACAGTCTGACAGCATATCAGCAACATACCCCGTCTTTTAATGATACTTTTACATCTCTGTATCTTTGTTCAGTAACTAAAAGGTTCCTGTTGTTATATCTTCTTGAAATGTCCAAGGTTAGTAACATGTAAGAAAACATGTTTTGTTTATTCAGCAAGTATTTAATATAGCACACATATTAACACCATTTAGTGTTAAAGTTCCTCTTGATGCAAAAGAGAACACAGTTTTTAAGAAAATGGCTAAGCGTCAATGGATTGTTACTTGATCGCTGAGAAACATAAACTTTAGCTTCATTAGTTCATCAATAACCTGCAGCCCCGCTCGGGGGTGATTTACCATATTTTTATAGGACCCCTAGTTCCTGGGGGCCCCATTACACTTTGTTTACATGTATAGTAAATACAACTATTAGGGATGCACGATATAATCGGCCCCCTATCGGTATCGGCCTGTATCGGCCTTAAAACTGAATATCGGATATCGGCCACCACACTGATATTTAACCCGATATTTGATGAGCTTCTGAGTTTCTAAAGTCTAAAAAAAAAAAAATAATACTACTTTTTCTTCTTCCTAAAAAACGTATTTTTTACAGATTTAAAAACTTCTAAAGACGAGGGAAAAAATATTGATACATTAAAATATCACAATATCTTCATATGCTGATATATTGCCATTTAAAAACACCATATCAATCTCTTTTACTAATGAAATATTGCTATATGTCATCGTTATGCTATGAAATCCCCCGAAAATTCACGAAATATTGCCATATTTTTATATGTTGATATATTGACGCGGTAACGATCTATTTTACTAACAAAATCTTGTAACAGAAATTTCACGAGATTCTGAAAGTAAAAAGATCGATACTGCCTTTTTTTAAAAATTAATTTGATATGAAAATATATTTGAGTATATATTTTTTTTTTTTCAAAGTGTCAGAAATGGATAACAAAACTGCTATTTTCAATGACTACTTTTTTTGGTCCAGCTTTAACATCAGTATCGATATCGGTTATCGGCTACATGAGTTTTAAAATATCAGCATATCGGATATCGGCCAAAATCCCAATATCGTGCATCCCTAACAACTATTCCTTATTGTGCACATCAATTATGCTTTTGATAAAAATCCTGTCATGCTTATAATAAGTGTGTCTCAGCCCCCCTTCAGTGTCCACCACATTGGATCAGTCCATTTGCTGCACAAGAGAAAGGTCTAAACAGGCAGCAGCAAACCATTTGAAAACAAACCATGCAAAGAGCAGAGCTGCAAACTTGGTGCTTTTGTCTCTATATTTAGCAACTTTTCAGACCCCTTTAGTGCCTTTATTTCAATAAAGCGCCTAACGCCAAATCTAGTGACGTTTTTCTGCTGCTGGAGACTTTGGAGATAACATCTCAAAGCAGCAAACTCTGCTCTCCAGAGCAAGTAGATTGGTAACCCCGCCTCCTTCTCTCCTCTATCTTGTCTGCTGTCATGATTCATGCAGCTATTACAGGTGCTGGTCATAAAATTAGAATATCATGAAAAAGTAGATTGATTTCAGTAATTCCATTTAAAAAGTGAAACTTGTATATTATATTCATACATTACATACAAACTCATATATTTCAGATGTTTATTTTGTTTAATTTTGATGGTTACAAATGACAACAAATTAAAATCTCAAATTCATCATATCAGAAAATTAGAATATTACTGAAGACCAATAAAAACAAAGGATTTATAGAAATGTTGGCCAACTGAAAAGTATGAACATGAAAAGTATGAGCATGTACAGCACTCAGTATTTAGTTGGGCCTCCTTTGGCCTGTATTACTGCAGCAATGCGGCGTGGCATGGAGTCGATCAGTCTGTGGCACTGCTCAGGTGTTATGATAGCCCAGGTTGCTCTAATAGTGGCTTTTAGCTCTTCTGAATTGTTGGGTCTGGTGTATTGCATCTTCTTCTTCACAATACCCCATAGATTTTCTATGGGGTTAAGGTCAGGAGAGTTTGCTGGCCAATTAAGAACAGGGATACCATGGTCCTTCAACCAGGTACTGGTAGCTTTGGCACTGTGTGCAGGTGCCAAGTCCTGTTGGAAAATGAAATCTGCATCTCCAAAAAGTTGGTCAGCTGCAGGAAGCATGAAGTGCTCTAAAACTTCCTGGTATGTGGCTGCGTTGACCCTGGACCTCAGAAAACACAATGGACCAACACCAGCAGATGACATGGCACCCCAAACCATCACTGACTGTGGAAACTTTACACTGGACTTCAAGCAACGTGGATGAAGTGCCTCTCTTCTTTTCCTCCAGACTCTGGGACCTTGATTTCCAAAGGAAATGCAAAATTTACTTTCATCAGAGAACATGACTTTGGACCACTCACCAGCAGTCCAGTCCTGTTTCTCTTTAGCCCAGGCAAGACGCTTCTGACGCTGTCTGTGGTTCAAGAGTGGCTTGACACAAGGAATGCGACAGCAGAAACCCATGTCTTTCATACGTCTGTGTGTGGTGGTTCTTGAAGCACTCACTCCAGCTGCAGTCCACTCTTTGTGAATCTCCCCCACATTTTTGAAGGGGTTTTGTTTCACAATCCTCTCCAGGGTGCGGTTATCTCTCTTGCTTGTACACTTTTTTCGACCACATCTTTTCCTTCCCTTCGCCTCTCTATTAATGTGCTTGGACACTGAGCTCTGTGAACAGCCAGCCTCTTTAGCGATGACCTTTTGTGTCTTGCCCTCCTTGTGCAAGGTGTCGATGGTCGTCTTTTGGACAACTGTCAAGTCAGCAGTCTTCCCCATGATTGTGTAGCCTATAGAACTAGACTGAAAGACCATTTAAAGGCTTTTGCAGGTGGTTTGAGTTAATTAGCTGATTAGAGTGTGGCACCAGGGGCCATCAATTTTGAACCTTTTCACAATATTCTAATTTTCTGATATGATGAATTTGAGATTTTCATTTGTTGTCATTTGTAATCATCAAAATTAAACAAAAAAAACATCTGAAATATATGAGTTTGTATGTAATGTATGAATATAATATACAAGTTTCACTTTTTAAATGGAATTACTGAAATCAATCTACTTTTTCATGATATTCTAATTTTATGACCAGCACCTGTATTTCATCCAAATGAAAAATGGAGAACAGATAGGTAAATCATGGCTGGTCTACAGTGAAAAGAAGGACTGGGTTATTTACTTTTGCCTTTTTGGAAACACAGGAAGGACAAATTGGCTAAGTGAGCTTAGTGCTTGGAACAAATCTTTTGTTCCTTTTGAGACAGCATGAAAAGTCAGCTGAGAGGAAAACAACGAGGAAAGGGATAAAAAGAGAGGGACAAAACGTAGAACAAATATTTATCTATTCTATTAAAATTTCTCTATCTGTATAATGAGTCTGTTTTATGTGTTGTCTTCTCAATTCAGAGGGCCCCCTGCTTGTCTTTGCTTGGGACCCCAAATTTCCTAAATCCGCCGCTGTCCCTTCTCCTACCAGGTCAAAGTTCTGATCCTTCAGCCAGATGTTTCAGTAACATCGGCTGGAATTCATTCAGCATACGCAGAGCTTCACAGGCAAAACCTTAACCTCTAAACTTAATAGTCCATCAGAGGGATAAAGGTCAGCCGCCTGCAGCTCAGACATGTAAAGCGTTTCACCGGCCTCGTGTTCTACATGGCAAGTGAAGCAGCTCTGCCCCATTCACGTATTTTTTCTTTCTGTTCAGATGAATGATGGCCCCCTGTGTAAGTGCAGTGCCAAGGCCAGACGTACAGGGATCCGCCACAGCATCTACCCGGGAGAGGAGGTAGGACACACTGTGAATAAATCACCCTTCATAACCTTGAAGCTGGGCCACAGCAGGGCCAAGGGCATCATTTTACTCGGCCTCAATGCATTTCTACACAGAGGCCATTTTCTCATGGTCCAAAAGCACAATAAAAGAGACTCAATCATCTATATAAGAAGATTACATCTCCTAAAAAACAGACCCCTGTCCTTGCAAGTCACTGATTATGTTTTCATACAGAGCTTTAGCTCCTTACTGTGTTTTTGAACACAATCTATTAGAACACGTTTGAGCCACAATAGGAGACCTTTATGCCTCATGAATTGATAAAAATCATGCAATGCTTGATAAATCCTCCTCCCTACAGGAGGGATTTTGTTGTTTTGTCACTTTGCCTTGTTGCAGAGGCACTACTTGACATCAGATTTACATCCACACTGATATAAACAGCTGTTGGCTGCAGTTAAAGTGCCAAGTTTTTTATCACTGTGGAAAAACGAGACTGATAAATCAACTGGAAGCTTATTTCACCTTCATTTTGATGCATATCCTGTAGAGTTCAGTAGAAAAACAGATCTGCTTTAGATGAAATATATGAAAGAGCAGCACTAGCATCAATATGAAATATTCCTCCATGTTTTTGTCAGCATTTACATCTATAAATCTCCTGTTGTAGCAGGTGACCCAGCAGGTACTCTGTCATTTTCATATTTGGGCTTGGACTAGGCCATTTCAGAGCTTTAGCTTCAGCTCATTCCGTTCCTCTGTAGGTTTGTATATACAGTAAACTTCTCGTCCGTTTTCTCAGCTGTCTCACTGATAGCTTATGATTTGGGTCCAAAATTACTTGTATTTAAAATTACTATCATGCCTCCACCACTGTGTGTTTAACTCTGTACCCTTAGGGTTTCTGCAGGGCCTTAAAATTATGAATATATTTTAGTTTTTTGCCTTTGGAGGCCTTAAATTTGATTAATAGCTTCTTCTTTTAACCTTTTTTCTTATCATAATCCTCCTGAAAATGATTAATTGCGTGTTTCTAGCAAACGCAGTTAAAATTCTTCTTCTGTTATGAAGTCATAGCTTAGAATAAAGTGTGTATGTCATGATGGATGTTAGTGTTTGGCCAAAATCTGTCATAGTAACCATTATAAAGCTTGGTATGTTCTCTAAAATGGTAAAGTAGGTATAAAAGCCTTGAAGTTGGATGCTACAGTGAAAAAATATTTATTTGAAACAAATAAATTTAACTTATAGTAGTGAAAAATGAATTTGTAAAGCTTTTGAGCTAACTTTATCCATTAACTTAGACAAACTGCAGGTTTTGTTTCATCATATCTCCCATGTCATTCAGGCTTGGATGTTTCCTTTTCATAAGATCAGTCTTTTATCCCTGCTCCTCAGTCCAGACAGTATTTATAAACATGATTTCTGTCATATGGAGAAACAACTAGTGTTGCGCTGATGCCGTTTTTTAGCCCCGATACCTGGCTGTGCAGTATTGGCCGATACCATCTGTTTGAAATTGATGTGTGTGTATATATGAAGGACTGCATACTACTTGGATGTAAAATAATTGCCATCATGGTTTTGTCAAGCTGCTGCCTAGCTTTATGAAGCAGGAAAAAGACTCATAGGAAGTGAATCCAGTAGAACTTTTTATTGCCTACCTGGAATGGGTGACAATAGTGAATAAGCTTTTGGCTCTCAAAATGGTATCAGTGTCCTATTTGTTGGTGCTCGCCGATACTGATGCCACCATTTAAGGGCTGGATCGGGGCTCTGCCGATACTGCTATCGGTGCAACACTAGAAACAACCTGAACTAAACCTACATTAGTGATGCTGTCAGTCTTTGTACAGACCTGGGCCGTTTCTCATTCACAAGAACGCGAGTACGGACTCTTGTTCTCGCCAAGTATGTTCTTGAGAAGAACACAGGAAAGAATGGACTTGATGAGAACGCGAGCATGCAGCTTAATATGGCAGCTCGTCTACAGCTGCATATCACCTCCTGTTATTGATAGTCTCTAGATAATAATATATTCTGACTTTTTTCATTTAGTGGGGGAATAATAATCAGATAAACACAATTCAAATGAACATTTTGCCAAATAAAACAAAAAACTCGGCATCAGAGCCAGTGGTCCTTCACACACGGCTATGCTGAGAGAGGGCCGCTGCAGATGGGCTGCGGTTAGCCCAGGTTGCCGTTTGCTTCGGAGGTCCGCTGGTTTTTTATTACGCATTAAATCTGTCAATAGACCATATAGTGACGCTTTAAAGTATAAAATTCTCGCCTCAAATGATCTTAAAACATACTTTTATAGAACAACAGCAACAGAAAAGAGAACTTTTAACTTTCAATGGAGCGCTCCATTGAAAGCTGCTGCTGCCGCAGTGCATGCTGAGACAGCTGTCAATCTCAAGAACGGACAAGTCTGCTCTGATGCATGCTCAATAAAGAGGGCGGGGCGAGAACAACATCTGTGGATTTGGTGCGTTCTCGGTCTGGCGTTCTCTGCAATTGGAACAGTGCTCTGGCTGAGGCTGATGACGTATCACGAGCACACGAGAACGCTCAAGAACGCATATTGAGAAACGGCCCTGGTTTGGTCTCCTTAGAATTTAAAAACACCATATTGTTATTTTTGGTCACTGTCTCTCATACACAGTAAATGTTGCATGGTTAAAGTAACACTTTAAGATTACATTTGGTCCCACTCTGACTAAGTGTGGGACCAAATGTAATCTTAAAGTGTTGCTTTAACAGTGCAACATTCACTGTGTATATTTTTCATTTTCATTTCATTCTTTACGTATTGTTAAAAATATTTGCCCAGTTTTGAACCAATCTAATCCTTAATTTCCAGCTTTGTTTTGGTTTTTGGGACACGGGAGGAGAACTCTCTCCTGGTTTATTAATTTTACAGTAAAAAATGTTCACTGTTTTTGTTCGCTCTATTTGACCCCAACCAGAACATTTACCCAAAATTAGACATCAAATCCATTTAACTTGAAAAGTAACCAAGTGTTTACTGATTTTGAACCCTAGCATTAAAAAAAATAGTAATTCTTAATAATTATCTGTTTCTTGATTATCATTTTGTTCCCAGCCTGTGAAGCAGTGCCGTCCGATGAACAACAACGCAGGGAAGCTTTTCCACTACAGGATCACCGTCTCTCCTCCCACAAACTTCCTGGTATAAAGTCATCAGGATCTTTTCTCTCCATCGTTTCACCTCCATGCTGACGGCCTTCATGATCTTTCATTCTGCCTTTTGATGCCCTTCTTCCTGCAGACCGACAGGCCCACTGTGATAGAGTACGATGACCATGAGTACCTGTTTGAGGGCTTCTCTCTGTTCTCCCACACTCCTCTCACTGATGTAAGTCTGCCTGTAGTTTCCCGTTGGTTGGACAGGAAGGTGGAATCCAGCTTTGTTGCTGTGCAGATTTTCCTTTTGATCGGAGAGAATACCTAACCTCCCCTTCCTGCAGGGGAAAGCTTACTTTTATGAAGTCATTTTATTTAGAACATCTGAGTGTCTTTTTTTTGCAAATGTTGCATAGTTTATTCAATTGAAATATTATCTAAAAGATAAAACAAGATTTTTACTTTTTTTTTTATTAGACATTTCAATGACTTTCCCAGCTTCCCTCACTACCCTCTGCCATCCCCACAGTGAAGCATGTAGGTGACAGCATCATGCTATGGGGATGACCGGCGCACCTTTTTACTCTTTTGTAGTTTGTCACAAATCAATTATGCGACCCAATAAACAGGACTTATGTTTATGTTATTTTTTCCAAAAACTAAATTCTTCTTTAATTTGCTTCATACGGCTCCAGTTTTATAGTTGGTTTATAGATTTTGCAATCAGATTTTCCTGCCTTAGCTGTTCAGGTTAGGAGGGTAGCTAAGTAGGTGAATGAAAAGCTCAGTCCAAATTTGCAATGTAGTTTAAAACCCTGACTTTGGGTTAAATGTTTGAGATCTTCCTCCCTGACCCGTCTGCTGGGATCCTTGACAATAGATACATGTGACTCCAGTTGGAATGTTTAAGATGATCGGTTGCACTGGATTTAATTTAGGCATATTGGAGTAAAAGGGGTCTGAGTTCATGTGATTAATGAAAAAGACGTCTCTGGGAAGCGTCTTGTTCTTTTGATAAATCTTTATTCATAGTTATCAGGGTTGGGAATTTATAAGATTTTCACGATTCCGATTACTTTATCGATTCTGTGAAACGATTCGATTCCTTATCGATTCTGTGAAACGATTCGATCCCTTATCGATTCTGTGAAACGATTCGATCCCTTATCGATTCTGTGAAACTATTCGATCCCTTATCGATTCTGTGAAACGATTCGATCCCTTATCGATTCTGTGAAACTATATGATTTACATATGTGATATAAAACTAGCTACTTACCACCAGAGTTGCTGGTCGTAACTTTAGCTTCTGTCCAGGAGCATCAAAAACACAGCATTCGTTAAAGTGTATGCCATGTTGTGTGCGCAGGTGTTTCTGCATGTTGGATGTATTTCTTCCCGCAGATGTAATTGCCACTTTGCAATGATTGCAAAGCGCCTTGTTGCCATCTTTCTCTTCCTTAAAATGAAGCCAAACCTTCGATCGCTTTGACCGCTTATGTTTTGCTTTTCTATATTTAAGCCTGGTCACGTCGTAGTAGCTTAGTGAATGCCGTGTGCGTAACTTTCTTAAAAAAGGTGACGTAAGTCGTGCTGCCCAGCGCTAGGCTCTGGTTTCTGCCTGAAACTGTTAAGAGAACCGTTAAGCGAGCTGCCAAACAATGCCATGGAATTGGAACACAGTACCGGTTCTGAACAGGAACTGGTTTTCGATTTGCATCCCTAATAGTTATTTATCCATAAAAAGTGGAATAGAGTATGATCATTATCAATACATATGAATCCCTATTGCAATATGATTCAATATCAAAGTTTTGGCTTTTAAACACATTTCTGATATTTCAGTTTACATTCCAGCTTTTATTGACTCACATTAAGGGTTTATATAGTTTTTTATGTCTAAAATGTCAGAGAAGTTTTATAAATATGGAAAAATAACTGTCATATGTTATACAATTATTCTTAAGGTTTACCTTTTTCTATATAGCCAATAAAAAAAGAAGAAATGTTTTGGCCATATTGTTCAGCCCTAATAAAACTACTCTAAGAACAGGAATACTTCAGATATTTCCCTTTTTTCGTCTCTGCCCTTTGAGGTTCTGCTGCTTTTTGCTCTGATCCAGGATCCGTCCTGTTAGCTCTCCGCATACATGCTGCTCAGCCGGCGTTCCTCCACTTAACATGCCTGTTCTGGTTTCTTTTTATCTATTCTGTCAGAGACTGAGCGATGCCTTCCGCTGCTTTCAGCGCCCTTTTCCTAAAACATAACTTCAAAAATCCGCTTTTGACTCTGTAGCTGGGCCAAAGTGCTCCCGCTCTGGCCGGGAGCACTTTGGCCCTCGTCACAGAGTCGTCTCAGCGCCGTTTGAAGGCCCATCAGTCGCTGACGGCCATTAAAGAAGCTGCGATTTAACAGCAAACCTTTGAGCTCGGCCGGATTTATTTAAATATTTCAATTCCTAGGGCAGAAATTTGACCCCAGACATTCTAATTTATGAGCAGCGATCCACATGCTACTGTGTTTCATTTCAAGTTTTTATCCCATTTATGTCTAATGTGATCAATAGCATGAGAGACCCTGAGGATGCGCCCTGATCTGAGCCCGGATAATTTAACCCTCGTTAAAAGCCGGAGCCAACGCTCCACGGCGGCGAGGAGGATTAGGGAATCTAAAAGCACAGCGAAATTAGCTCGCCGCTAGTTAGCCGCTGGGATGGGCAGGAATGAGCGTGGCTCCCAGGTTAATCTCTTAAAACGAACCCCTGTGCTCCGACAACAAAGACCGTGTAACTGGGGAGATTAAACACAGAAGAGCTGGCTTATCCTTTTAGCAAGATTTCACTTCATTTCCAGGAGTCGGGCCTTATAATGTGTGTGTGAGGGGGGGAGTTTGCATGTTTCTTTCTCTACATCCACCTTCCGTACATGCATCTAGTTAGTGCAGCAAAGAAAAGGGAGTTTTTAATGAGTTTCCCTCGAAAAGCTGTAACCTCTGCCTATCGCCGTGGTAATGAGACGCTGTGTCCTTTTCTCTCCTTGTCCTCTTCTCCTTTCATCATCACAGATCCCATTGTGCCGAGTGATCCGCTTCAACATAGATTACACCATTCACTTCATAGAGGAGATGACACCGGAGGTCAGTAAGACGCCACTTTATCTCCGTGCTCCTTTTTTTTTTCTTCTTTCTTTTTGTTTTTATCTCAGCCGGTTGAGTCTGAGCTCAGCTGAGCTGGGGTGTAACTGTTCCGGTGAGCCCAGGTGCTAATCCGTTTCAAGAGGAGAAAAACCTCAGAGTTCGACCTAAAGTAGCAGAGCTATTGGTATCGATGAGATGAAGTCAGAGAGCCTGATCTCGGGCATCAGTCAGATGAGCTGTGAGGATGAACGCTTGCCTCTTTGTTCCCAGAACTACTGTGTCCGAGGGTTGGAGCTGTTTGCCTCCTACTTGTTTCGGGACATCCTGGAGCTGTATGACTGGAACCTAACAGGTAGGAACACAGTAACCAATGGTTACCTTCGCTAAGTACAGTAGCAGCCATTTAAAATGGCCCTTCCTCCATGTAAGTCAGACTACTGAATTACAGGGTCTGACCAGGCGATGATGCTTCTCTTTAGGCCTTAATCTCCAAAAATCATGAAAGAATATTTTAGTACAAAGATTGATGTTTAAAAAAGGAATCTTAAGTGACCAGCCAAGGACCCATCAAGGAAAGTGGGGAAACGTTGAATGGCTACTACTGTAGATCATTTGCGTCACTGACATCCATTAGTTCTTGTTTTTCTCAGTAAATGTAGCCTTCAGTCGGTTATCCATACAGCGATTTAGATCCTTTTATAATAATAAGCTTGTTCTCTTTTTATTATGATTATATGTTATAGATGCTGATGAAGATTCTCAGTCATCAAGGTCATAGTCATTCTGAAAAAGCTTTCTCAATTCATTGAGAAAGCTTCCTGGAGAGGTGGCGAAACGTCTTCAAATCTTGGAAACCAAGTCCAGTGGACTTTTTTAACTTTTACAGAATATGTTGTAGATCAACACAAAGAACTAAAATATAACATATCCCACAGCATGATACTGCCACCTCCATATTTAACAAAAAAATATACCTTTCAAGTTGTCTTAAAAGGAATTTATTCAGGTCCTCCTTACTCCGAAATATCTAAATAACAGGGAATATAAGCCAAAAATGTGACTTTTTGTTGTGCTTTCTCCCAACTTACTGTGGTGGGGTTAAACTGGGTACACATGGTGGGGACAGCAGTGCTCTAATTAGATGGAGCTAATTGATGGTCCCACCATCAGTGTGTGAATGGCTGAACGTAGAGTGACATAGCTTGGAGACCCCTGAAGTTAAAAGATCCTATGTTACGACCACTTACCAATAAATGTAAGAGGCATAAAACAGATTTAATTTCTAACTTTTCCTCAGCAGAACCACAGATTTGATCCAATGACAATATTCAGAGCCAACATAAGGGAATCCACGTCTGTGAAACTAAAGAACTTTCTGGTAAAATGGGAAACATGTTAGTAACCGGCTTCAGGAGAAAATGTATTAAACATTTCAATGTTGATTAGTAAAAATAAGCTGTTTGTGCACAGCTCTATCATCATATTAAGTTGTCAGTATTAGAAATGGAACTATACCTTCTGTTCACAGCAAATGTTAAATTAATGCAGTGTTGAATACCTTGTAACAATATGCATGAAAAAGCTAACAGACTAAAATAATGATAAAAGAAATCAGTAAAAACAGCAGAGATATAAACACTCATGATAATTCATAGCAGTGATTGTTATAAAGGCCCGGTCCCATTTCTCTCACTTGCAACCCTATCACTCGGTTTCCCGCGTTCACGTCTAAGGGTAGTGTGTCCTAATAGTTTTAAGTGTTAGGGGGAAGTGCCCTCCAACCCTTAAAATGATCCCTTCACACCGAGTGAGGTCGGGAGCTGACTTCGGAACGGAGTGGCTTCCCTGAACTCATTCAATCCAGTTGTTGAAAAAAAAAAAAAACTGCAAAAATGTAAGTAGATTTTTATAATTGACAACGCATTTAAAAAAAAATTAAATGTAGGTATTTCTTAGTTGGATGTAAATTCTACTGAATTCCTTACTGTTGTGTTAAAACATGAGTATTGCAAAATCGCAATTATTTCCTAATGCACAAATCTACCGAGAATTATTTTCTTTTTTAACGTAAAGTAAGATGATTATGACCGTCTAACAGCTGCTCAGAGGAAGAATCTGCGATGACGCTCCTTTGTGCATCTAGAGGTGCAGCAGTCTTTTCATGGCTGTCTGAACAACACAGATCCAACTTTTTCCAATGGGCCACTTGGTTATGTGGTCCTGAATCCGATACGAATCTGATATTTTCAAATGCGACCTGTGTCTGAACAGAATTATCCGACCTGAACGCCATCAGTAACCGACATAGGTCACTCTTCTGCTTCTTGCTACGCAGAAGTGCCAAGAAAAACAACAACAATGGTGGATGACAATGCGGAGAGCAGTATTTATGTTTAACCATCTAGAAAAGATCGAGTTTTTAAGGTTGGGATTTATGGAAACGTGCATATAATAAAAATAAAACAAAATGTTGCTTTAATGTGTAAGACTTTATTAAGGTTTGAGTGATAAAAAAAAAATGAACGATGTAAATGCTTTATGTTCACCCACCACTTTATAAAGGATGTAGAAGTTTGTTGTGACTTTATTAGAGTAGCTTGATCTTGCAGTCTGCACAATTAAATCCTGCTTCGCCTGTAACTCAGTCCTGCCCTCATTATGAAGAAGCTGCCGCCATGCTCCAACACCTTACACTTTTTTCTAGAGAAGCTCAGAGAAAGACATTTATACACATACAGGTGCTGGTCATAAAATTAGAATATCATGAAAAAGTAGATTGATTTCAGTAATTCCATTTAAAAAGTGAAACTTGTATATTATATTCATACATTACATACAAACTCATATATTTCAGATGTTTATTTTGTTTAATTTTGATGATTACAAATGACAACAAATGAAAATCTCAAATTCATCATATCAGAAAATTAGAATATTACTGAAGACCAATAAAAACAAAGGATTTATAGAAATGTTGGCCAACTGAAAAGTATGAACATGAAAAGTATGAGCATGTACAGCACTCAGTATTTAGTTGGGCCTCCTTTGGCCTGTATTACTGCAGCAATGCGGGGTGGCATGGAGTCGATCAGTCTGTGGCACTGCTCAGGTGTTATGATAGCCCAGGTTGCTCTAATAGTGGCTTTTAGCTCTTCTGAATTGTTGGGTCTGGTGTATTGCATCTTCTTCTTCACAATACCCCATAGATTTTCTATGGGGTTAAGGTCAGGAGAGTTTGCTGGCCAATTAAGAACAGGGATACCATGGTCCTTCAACCAGGTACTGGTAGCTTTGGCACTGTGTGCAGGTGCCAAGTCCTGTTGGAAAATGAAATCTGCATCTCCAAAAAGTTGGTCAGCTGCAGGAAGCATGAAGTGCTCTAAAACTTCCTGGTATGTGGCTGCGTTGACCCTGGACCTCAGAAAACACAATGGACCAACACCAGCAGATGACATGGCACCCCAAACCATCACTGACTGTGGAAACTTTACACTGGACTTCAAGCAACGTGGATGAAGTGCCTCTCTTCTTTTCCTCCAGACTCTGGGACCTTGATTTCCAAAGGAAATGCAAAATTTACTTTCATCAGAGAACATGACTTTGGACCACTCACCAGCAGTCCAGTCCTGTTTCTCTTTAGACGCTTCTGACGCTGTCTGTGGTTCAAGAGTGGCTTGACACAAGGAATGCGACAGCAGAAACCCATGTCTTTCATACGTCTGTGTGTGGTGGTTCTTGAAGCACTCACTCCAGCTGCAGTCCACTCTTTGTGAATCTCCCCCACATTTTTGAATGGGTTTTGTTTCACATTCCTCTCCAGGGTGCGGTTATCTCTCTTGCTTGTACACTTTTTTCGACCACATCTTTTCCTTCCCTTCGCCTCTCTATTAATGTGCTTGGACACTGAGCTCTGTGAACAGCCAGCCTCTTTAGCGATGACCTTTTGTGTCTTGCCCTCCTTGTGCAAGGTGTCGATGGTCGTCTTTTGGACAACTGTCAAGTCAGCAGTCTTCCCCATGATTGTGTAGCCTATAGAACTAGACTGAAAGACCATTTAAAGGCTTTTGCAGGTGGTTTGAGTTAATTAGCTGATTAGAGTGTGGCACCAGGGGCCATCAATTTTGAACCTTTTCACAATATTCTAATTTTCTGATATGATGAATTTGAGATTTTCATTTGTTGTCATTTGTAATCATCAAAATTAAACAAAATAAACATCTGAAATATATGAGTTTGTATGTAATGTATGAATATAATATACAAGTTTCACTTTTTAAATGGAATTACTGAAATCAATCTACTTTTTCATGATATTCTAATTTTATGACCAGCACCTGTATTCAATTGATCACAGCAGAATTTTGCTGCTGCGGGGTTGTTGCTTGGATCCATGTTGGAGGTTGTCGTGTTGCTATGGAGACAACCACACACAGGAAGCGGAGCAAGAGGCCTGATTAGAAACAAAGAAAAGATCTGACCACTAATGTTATAAAAACAAGTTGATTAATTACACTAATAAGGCCTCAACCTTTCTGTGGGTTTAACAAGAGAAAGCAGTCGAGCTGAATTATTGAATGCTTCTGTAAACCCAGAGAACACGGGATGATGTTCATTTTACCAAAAAACTTTTGTTTTAGACCCTCAAAACGGATAAAAAGAGAAAAATTAAATACAGAAGCAACTGTGCTTCTGGGCTGATTGGAGTAAAAACTCATTTCTGGTTCCAGATATTGTTTTATTTTCTCGGGGCCCCTAAATCTGAAACGTTAGTAATTATGGGATGAAAGAAAACAGATTGGAGGGAAATCTGAAAAATATGGAATCTGATTTGAATATTTCCATTTCCCATCAGGGTTTCCTTCTCCGTTGTCTTTGTTTATTCACCTGATTGTTCGTTCAGTTACTGATTTGCCACTTTTTGCCTTTTTTGTTGTTTTTTTAAGGTCAGTTTTTTGTGTTAACACTTGGAAAACCAGTCGGAAGCAGCAGACCTCAGCAGAACCTTACGTTTAGTTTACGACCTAGACGGGTTTTTGTCGTTTGAAGATGCAGGACTCTTCCATCTTTTCTCCTGCTGTAGATAACGCATCCCGCTCAGGTTCCCTGGAGGCTCAGGGACTGACAGCTGGCTTTGTAAGACGGACCAATAGATGGCAGCGGCTGCTTCTCATTCCCTCTGGGATACCTTTAGATTAGAGGAACGATTTTATTGTTTTACATATTTTAACTTTCTTCATGCTTCCTGACTCAATCCAAGGTAATTAAAATGATCACAGTTAATCTATGTTTTAAAAAGGGAAAGGATTGGTTTTCAGTTTATTTTTCCCTTATTGAGTGAAACCTTCATTTACAAAATTGCATCTTTGTGTTTCCTTCGTATATATTATATCTGTCATCTCTTTATATATGACTGAAGGAGAACTAAAACTGTTGGTTTAAAAATAAAACTATTTGAAAGAGTGAATTTTTAAAGATATTTACTGAAGGAAATAGTTTAAAAGAAGCACAACAATTAAGTTGGGTTTCTTAAAAAAATATAAATCTATTCATCCCTGTGCTGTTGGTGTAAATATTAGGTTGAACGGTTGTCTTAGAAGTGTCTGTGTTGGGAAAAAAATGATGTCATAAATATAATCACTTTATTTCAGCCTTGATGTCATGAATGAGTTAAAGTTTAGGATGGAAAAGGCAGAACTTCTATCATCTTGGTGAAGCTTGTTGAAATAACGTTTTTTTTTTTCTTTCTATCAGGTCCTGATTTGGACTCTGAGCCATCTGGATGTCAGCGCTTCCATTTCATGCCTCGTTTTGTCAGATTCTTACCAGGTAAGACTCCTAAAAAAATCAAGCACTTTTTCCTTGCTTGTCCTGAATGAGTCAAACACAAAGCATTATGTTTAACAAGGATTTCCCTGGCCTCTCCAGATGATTTCTGTGGTTTGTTTTGCATTTCTACAGCTGCATGCTGTTCTCCTTTTCTACACTGGGTGGTGCTGTTGCACTGCAGCAGCAGCGCTTGTCACAGCAGCTCCTGCCTCCTACCTTCATGCCATCAAAAAGCAATTCCTCTCCCAGCTCTCCCAATTTCAAGAAGCAGCAGACAGACACTTATCCGCCTCTTTTACAAAAGCACAGCAACAACCTAATCTAATGTTTCTGATGTGATCTGCTAGGAGGAAGGCAGTTAGAGGGATCATGGTGCTACACTGGGAGAACCACGTCTGTTCAGTTTGCATGAGTTGCAGTTGAACTCTGCTTTTATGACCTGGATGATCACACAGTTCTGCAGAGCTACGGTCCAGTTTAAAAGAAAAGGCTCCCTCTGTCAGCTGAGAAGCAGATATTTTTACCTATCGGGGCATGAGGGAAAAGTTTGAACCCCAAACACCATCATACTCTCTGCATGGAGTTTGTTGGGTTGTTTCTTTTTTTCCCAGCTTGACTGGTTGCTTCTTACAGCCTGACAACATCAACATGTAAGCACCTCTTGAAGCAGGGATTTTGGCAACAGTTGTCTGTTTGCCAAGACACTAAGACATCAGCAGATACTATGAAGTTGTTGTTGCCCAACAATCTGCAAAGGGATGTAAAACCAGTTAACTGTCAGACGTCTGTCGCTCAATAAAATAAAGAAAAATATACAGGAGTTCCATGTCAGGATTCAATTGGCCCTTTTTAAGCTTGTTTAGCACTTTTAATGTGAAGCCTCTGATGTGGAATCTCTGGAACAACTTTCCTTGATTAAAAAGGAGACCAAAGTAGAGATGTTTGAGCTATAATTCCTAGAAACATGTTTGGAAAAAATCAAACAGAATTTTACTTTTCCTCTTTTACAGCTGCAGGAAATGGGCCCCCTTGTGTCCTACAGTCCACTATGAGTTAATCTTCCAATCAAATGAATGAACCAGTCAGTCCAGAAGCTTCAAAATGAGTCATCATTTGGTCCATGATCCCAAACACATCAGCAGGTCTTCAATAACATGTCTGAGCTAAAGAGTCAGATTGTTAAAGTGTTCTAGTCAAAGTCTAGACCTTAAAGGAATAGTACACCCAAAACATGATTAGCCTTCATTTTCTACTCACCCCCATGCTGAATAACACTCTGGAGTACTTTTTTGATATCTCAAATGCATCTGGAGATCTGGGAGGCTTCTTGCTGTCTGCTGACATTCAAATAATGGAGGTCTATGGTGTCCGAGACAGAAAGGTCCATAAAAGTCCACAAAAAACGTTTCAATATTCCTCCATACTGCTCGTCCAATGTATTCCAAGTGTCCTGAGTGGGTAGCATCCAGAATTTACTCGAAACAAAGTCATTTAGAATGTTTTTAGAGCATAAACAGTAGTGTATAGGATTTCCTGAAAGCGCGCGCCTGCGAGTTCACGAGTCTACGGAAACCGCGGCAGACCAAACCAGATGAAAGTGCGCATTCAGCTCGGCAAAGAACTCATGCTCTTCCTCAACACTGAAGTCCTCAGACATTTTTCTTTCGTTGTTTTCTTTTTTTGCACAGGTAAACAGCACAGTTCTTCTTCTACGCTTGCATTATCAGCAGAGCAGACGCTGAATGCGCACTTTCATCTGGTTTGGTCTGCCGGTTTCCGTAGACTCGTGAACTCGCAACCGTTCAAAAGTTTAGTAGAGACCTGGAAATTTTTTGGGAATGAGTGCCGTTGACATGTTTCTGGCACAACTGACTCCCAGAGCGCTTATAGATCAGAGGTCACGGATTAGCGGATCACTTTGCTGATCCGCACCCACCTGCTGGCTAATCCGAAGCCAACCTGATTTAAAACATTTATAAATTCCTGCATGTTGTCGGACGGGAGAGTCTAATTTCACTTGTGCCGCTTCTCCTGTTAATACGGTAAAGCCCTCCGCAGCGTCCGGCAGCAGGCTACACGTGATACAATTGATCCAATGAGCTGCTGTCAGTCTGGGTTGCTGCTGCTGCTACTTTTAGACACAGCAGGCAAACCTGCGGCAAGCCGGGCGATGGGAAAGAAGGAGAAGATGATGAGAAAAACAGAGCAGAGAAAGTGTGGACTGCTGGAAGAACTGTGGTGAACTGGTGAAAGAAAAGTGAAATGGTGCTCAAAGATGACCCTGCACATTTAGTTTGGCTCAACCTGCTGCTGTGAAGCAGGATTCTCCACCATGAACAGAATCAAAAATAAACATGGATCCAGGCTCAAAATGAGCTCCTTGATATGTGCTTTAGAATGGCTTTGTCTCCATTCAAACCAGGTTTAAAGCCTTGCAGGGCAGCATAAAGCCCACTGCCAACATTAAGACAGGAAAAGGAAAAAAAATAACAAATGTTTTATAACATATGTGAATCAGGAAGTTGTCTAAATACCAAACTGAACAGTTGTTGTTCTCTACTTTAAAAAACACTTTAGATTTTAAAATGGAAAAAATTTCTATTTTCTTTTATATTTTTTTATTTAAGAATTCAACGTATAACATGGATGCATTAAAACCTCATTTTAATTCCATGTTAAATGCTGTTTAAGGTAACAGATTATAATAAAAAATCTCTCTGGACCTTTACTGGTTGATGATTTTCTTTATTCGGACCCAGACAGATCAGAGGTGAAATTTACAAAGCCGCCATCAGGGAAACTAAATGTCTGACCAAAAAAAAACCCGACTAGAGATTGCTGCTAATAGTTTTTCTGCTTGCTGTTCCGTCTTGGGGTGTACTTAGTTTTTAACACAGATGTGAATACTTTTTCCGCTCTCAGATGGTGGGAAGGAGGTTCTGTCGATGCACCAGGTGCTGCTGTACCTCCTGCGCAGCAGCAAGCCTCTGGTCCCTGAGGAGGAGATCGCAGACATGCTGCAGTGGGAGCAGCTGGACTGGCAGAAGTACGCAGAGGAATGCAAGGGGATGATCGTCACCAACCCCGGCATGGTGAGAGAGGCCTCTGCTTCTTTGTCTGTAGCTCTCAGCAGCTTTTTTTCTTCTTCTGCTGTCCTGAACCCTGCCTCTGCAGGAGAGTTTTTTTTTTCTTTTTTTAACTTGTGACATAAGAAACTTGTTGTGTTATCCTCCACAGGCAGTCGTCATCAGCCCTGTCTGAACTGAAAGCTTTTAGTCGGATGACCTTCTTGCCCGGCCTGTATTTTTTTAAAGGATGTGCAGTAACTGTGTGCATGTGAAGGTGAAGATGTCAGAGCTGCTGTAGAGGTTGCATAGAAACGTGGGACGTGTTGCGCAACCTTTAGCACAGCTGACCGGTCCCGGCTGATTTCAGACACTGCCTGGATTTGGTGCATCACTCTTTAACGCCATGGTTAGATTCCTTAACTTTTAGTTTATGTCAAAGTTTCTAAGCTTTTAGATTTATTATTATATAGAAAAGCTAAGAGTTGTTTTTGATATAGTTATGGATGCATACACTGATGATTCTCTCAGGTCCATGTTGTTTTTCTGCCTCCTGCTGATCTGGGGCTGTTTTCTCCGTGCTGCTCCCCTCCGTCCTGTTTTCAAGGTGCCGATGAGGTGAGCTGGAGGTCAGAGTCCTCGGCTCAGCCGCAGGTGTTTCTCCTTTCAATCTGCTACACGGATCTGTCTGGACTCGTGAAAATGTTCACCTTGTGTGTCACATTGTGGAAATCTCTAGCTGGTGGAAATCAGACGTGGCGTTCTGATGTGACCCGGGCTTAGACAGGAATGTCAGCCGGCTCTGCTTTCAGAGCGGCTGCAGAGGCTGGAAAAGGCTCTGCTATGAAGGGATATGATTGATGAACTTTCCAGGACTGAATCACAAAAATACACTATATTGCCAAAAGTATTTGCTCACCCATCCAAATTATTGGAATCAGGTGTTCCAATCACTTCCATGGCCACAGGTGTATAAATTCAAGCACCTAGGCATGCAGACTGTTTTTACAAACATTTGTGAAAGAATGGGTCGCTCTCAGGAGCTCAGTGAATTCCAGCGTGGAACTGTGATAGGATGCCACCTGTGCAACAAATCCAGTCGTGAAATTTCCTCGCTCCTAAATATTCCACAGTCAACTGTCAGCTGTATTATAAGAAAATGGAAGTGTTTGGGAACGACAGCAACTCAGCCACGAAGTGGTAGGCCACGTAAACTGACGGAGCGGGGTCAGCGGATGCTGACGCGCATAGTGCGAAGAGGTCGCCAACTTTCTGCAGAGTCAATCACTACAGACCTCCAAACTTCATGTGGCCTTCAGATTAGCTCAAGAACAGTGCGCAGAGAGCTTCATGGAATGGGTTTCCATGGTCGAGCAGCTGCATCCAAGCCATACATCACCAAGTGCAATGCAAAGCGTCGGATGCGGTGGTGTAAAGCACGCCGCCACTGGACTCTAGAGCAGTGGAGACGCGTTCTCTGGAGTGACGAATCGCGCTTCTCCATCTGGCAATCTGATGGACGGGTCTGGGTTTGGCGGTTGCCAGGAGAACGGTACTTGTCTGACTGCATTGTGCCAAGTGTAAAGTTTGGTGGAGGGGGGATTATGGTGTGGGGTTGTTTTTCAGGAGCTGGGCTTGGCCCCTTAGTTCCAGTGAAAGGAACTCTGAATGCTTCAGCATACCAAGACATTTTGGACAATTCCATGCTCCCAACTTTGTGGGAACAGTTTGGAGCTGGCCCCTTCCTCTTCCAACATGACTGTGCACCAGTGCACAAAGCAAGGTCCATAAAGACATGGATGACAGAGTCTGGTGTGGATGAACTTGACTGGCCTGCACAGAGTCCTGACCTCAACCCGATAGAACACCTTTGGGATGAATTAGAGCGGAGACTGAGAGCCAGGCCTTCTCGTCCAACATCAGTGTGCGACCTCACAAATGCGCTTCTGGAAGAATGGTCAAAAATTCCCATAAACACACTCCTAAACCTTGTGGACAGCCTTCCCAGAAGAGTTGAAGCTGTTCTAGCTGCAAAGGGTGGACCGACGTCATATTGAACCCTATGGATTAGGAACGGGATGTCACTTAAGCTCATATGTGAGTCAAGGCAGGTGAGCAAATACTTTTGGCAATATAGTGTATGTAGCTTCCTGGAATGTTTCCCGGTTTGATCCTGCCTTCCTGTTACTGCTTTCCCTCTTTGCTTCCTTGATCCTTTCATTTCCTATACTGTCGTATCCTAACTTTAAATTTTCCTTCTTGGAATTACTCTTTGCTCATTATCCCCCCTACTCTTTTTGCTTCCTAACATTTTATATCCCCTCATAACTTCCTTCCACCCCCCCTTTTGTTCTTTCCTTCCTTCCTTCCTTCCTTCCTTCCTTCCTTCCTTCCTTCCTTCCTTCCTTCCTTCCTTGCTTCCTTCCTTCCTTCCTTCCTTCCTTCCTTCCTTCCTTTATCCCCTTCCTTCCTCTCCTCTCCTCTCCTCTCCTCTCCTCTCCTCTCCCTCCCTCCCTCCCTCCCTCCCTCCCTTCCTCCCTTCTCCTCTCCTCTCCTCTCCTCTCCTCTCCTCTCCTCTCCTCTCCTCTCCTCTCCTCTCCTCTCCTCTCCTCTCCTCTCCTCTCCTCTCCTCTCCTTCCTTCCTCTCCTCTCCTCTCCTCTCCTCTCCTCTCCTCTCCTCTCCTCTCCTCTCCTCTCCTCTCCTCTCCTCTCCTCTCCTCTCCTCTCCCCTCCCTCCCTCCCTCCCTTCTCCTCTCCTCTCCTCTCCTCTCCTCTCCCTCCCTCCCTCCCTCCCTCCCTCCCTCCCTCCCTCCCTCCCTCCCTCCCTCCCTCCTTCTCCTCTCCTCTCCTCTCCTCTCCTCTCCTCTCCTCTCCTCTCCTCTCCTCTCCTCTCCTCTCCTCTCCTCTCCTTCCTTCCTTCCTTCCTTCCTTCCTTCCTTCCTTCCTTCCTTCCTTCCTTCCTTCCTTCCTTCCTTCCTCTCCTCTCCTCTCCTCTCCTCTCCTCTCCTCTCCTCTCCTCTCCCTCCCTCCCTCCCTCCCTCCCTCCCTCCCTCCCTCCCTCCCTCCCTCCCTCCCTCCCTTCTCCTCTCCTCTCCTCTCCCCTCCCTCCCTTCTCCTCTCCCCTCCCTCCCTCCCTCCCTCCCTCCCTCCCTCCCTCCCTCCCTCCCTCCCTCCCTCCCTCCCTCCCTCCCTCCCTCCCTCCCTTCTCCTCTCCTCTCCTCTCCTCTCCTCTCCTCTCCTCTCCTCTCCTCTCCTCTCCTCTCCTCTCCTCTCCTCTCCTCTCCTCTCCTCTCCTCTCCTCTCCTCTCCTCTCCTCTCCTCTCCTCTCCTCTCCTCTCCTCTCCTCTCCTCTCCTCTCCCCTCCCTCCCTTCCTCTCTCCTCTCCTCTCCTCTCCTCTCCTTCCTTCCTTCCTTCCTTCCTGTCCTCTCCTCTCCTTCCTGTCCTCTCCTCATTAGGTGCGTATAAAGCTGCAGTTTTAATGGCAGATGAATTAGCAGTCCTGACGCATCAGAGCTGCTTTTAAAGGCAGAATGGGAGTCGGACGGTGACCCCTCACTCTGGGATGAGAAGTTTTGATGATGAGGGAATACAGAGGTGAGTTGGGTCCATCTGCAGCCTTGATCAGCCCGCCTCGTGCTGCAGCTGCTCTCTCTGATCTCTCAAACTGGCCGACAGGCTGGCGGTGATTTGGGATCCATATGAGGGTATGCTGCTTGTCAATCTCCCCTCTGATAAGAGAAGTGAGCTCGCTGTCCGAGGTGTTGCTTAATCATTCCCGTTGCTACAAGCTGACTCGTCTCATTACGTGCCTGTGACAGATGACCCTGGTGGTGTAGATTATTTATATCACATGCTGCTTGCAGGTGATTGAGTGATGGCTGCCTCTGAGCTAAATATGTTTATGCTCTAACAGGTTTTTTTTTTTTCTTTCTCCTCCCCCTTCCTTCTCTTTCCAGAAACCCAGCTCTGTGCGCATCGACCAACTGGACAGGGAGCAGTTCAACCCTGACGTCATCACCTTCCCCATCATCGTTCACTTCGGCATCCGGCCCGCTCAGCTCAGCTACGCAGGAGACCCCCAGTAAGATCACACCGTTTCTGCCTGAAAAACAAACAGACGCTGAAAAATATCAAGCAGTCTCCTTCGATCCCACGACTCCTCGCTCCCCGCCTCTCTCCTGGAGAAACGCCATAGAGGAGGGGAGCGACACGGATAGTCGGGATAGTGACATTTTCACATGCGTCGTCACGGGTCCCGGGTTTCCGTGGGGGCGCCGCGGATTCAGTTTGCTGCTCGTGAATAGTAATGCAACATCCGCGCGCCAGGAGGGCGTCAGGCGGGAGAGCTGTACTGTGTTGCTGCATAATTAACAGAGGACGCCTATTAGATGATGTGAGCCGAGATGCTCACAGGGATGTGGCAACACCACAACAACCCCCCCCCCCCCCCACCACCACAGCAGAAGTCTGTCTAAATTTAAACTTCAGTGCCTGATCAGAAATGCAACAGTTCCACAGACCTCTTCCTTCCATTTCTGCACATTTTATTCTGTTAAAGTCACAAACTTCACTCTGTTTTCTTGGCAGGCCTCCAATAAATTTTTTTCTAGGAATTTCCAACGTCACAATAAGTATAGGAAAAATAGTTTTATTTCCAGCCATGGGTACCCCACCTTCAAACTCCTGCTAAAAACTGTATTTATTATCAGATTAATGATGGCAAATCGTCTCAAAGGCTTTTATACTTCAGCAAAACAAGGTGGTGGCTGCATCATACTGTGTGGATAGCTTCTGTTTAGCCTGAAAAGGGAGGCTACAGGGTTCTAGCGGATCATTAAGTCATAAAAGGCATTGAATTCGTCAATATAAAAATAAAGCCTTAATTGGTATTAAAATGTGTTAAATCAGTCTTTCATAGGTCTTAAAATTGTCATAAATAGTATTTTATTCTTGTAATTTATATCAAAAATGTAAATAATTTACGATAATGTTTCGACATTTACCTAATTAGTTCCATCCTGATAGCAGAACCAATAAATACGATGTTACGAACAGACCTTGGGGTGATATGCCAATAAAACTTTAGTCTAAAGTCTAAATTCAATAAAAATTGGCTATTCAGCCAAGAGCTTTGTGCATCCCTAAAATCAGTACCAGGTGATGTATATGAGGAATGGCGTATTTTAGGCAAGAAGTCATTCAAGCTTGGCGTGATGGGAATCAAAGTTGGTGAGTCAGACATGTGAAGAGTGAAAAACAAAGCGCCAAAATCGAATTACAGAGAAGCAGCAGCTATTTCTCAGTTCTGTTCCACCCATGTCTCTGCAAAGCCTCTAAAGCATCTCCGACGTCAAAAAAAGCACCAGTAGCACCAAATTTTCAGAAAATATTTGGCGGTACGCCTATACGCCTGGACTTTGAGTAAGGATCAAAACACAGGTGGTGAATTCCATTCATTAGTTATTAAAGTCGTAGGGAAATCATATTTAGATGTCAAATCATTCTGGCTTAAACGTGTATATAAATGTACTGTTCATCAGACCATATTGTCCCAAAATTTAGAAAATTTCTATTTAAAAAATCTGTGTTTTTTTTTTTCCCGTTATCTTCTGCAGGCCATTTAGTTATACATCAGCTCGTACACCTAAAGTCGGCCAATCATATATCAATGGTCATCTGTAAATCACGTTTTTTCGGCCATAGCATCTTGATTCATATGTCGCAGCTAATATACGCAATGGTTGAAATAAGAATAATTTCCTTTCCCATTGAGTCACGTCCCAGTGTTCACCGGGATGGACGTCTGTGTCTTTAGCAGCGTTGCGAGGCAAGGGCTCAAACATGTACGGCTGGAAGCCTTCTACACCAAACCAAGCTTCTGCCGCCCTGGCATCCTCTTCCACAACATCTTCATCCCCGCTTTCCTCCTCTAAATAAAAAATGTATGACGGAGGAGACTCATCCACGACCTCCGACACTAAACTCTCCTCCTCTTGCATGTTTCCTCTGTCCATAGCGTTCCTTGACAGTGTCGTTTCTAAGTCACCAATTTAGTGCTACTTGGTACCAATGGAATTTCCCAATGGGAACCTGCTAGCACTAAGTTGCAAACTGGTTAGCAAGATGCTTCCAACAAACCGGCCACAACCAAACTTGCTTGCGAACGGAGGTTTAACCTTCCAGATGATTAATAATGTTCAGTCCTGATTTAAATACATTAGAGTCTGTAGGAAAACCTGGATAATCTGCATCCAGTCTGAGCTTGAGATGCAGAAGAGCATCCCAAACCTTTCATCTGCATGTACACACGGTGGTTAGGAACCAACTCCATTAAATATATAGCTGAGGCAAAACAAACACAGACCACAATCTTCAGCTATTAAAAAAAAAAAAAACCTTTGCAAGCACAGAGGAAGGAGGAAAACAAGAGGATAATCATGATGAAATCCATTTGCTTCCTCATCCGACTGCCACCACTTTATATCCATCAGTCCTCTGAGCGCTTTAATCCCCGTTCACCTGCTGCTTGTGTCAGAGTCCTCAAAGCGTTGGACGCCGACAAATTTATAGACCGATCGGGACATCATTAGCTGATGCAGAAACGAGCAGCGAGAGGCGGGCCACAGCTAATTTCCGACCACAGCTAATGACGCATGTCAGGGCAGCGGTCGGTGCTGATTGTAGCCGCAGCGGAGAGAGAGCCTTGAATGCATCAGAAATTACCCGCTGGAAGCTGATTCTTCGCCACCAACCGGACACCTCACGCATTTCCGGCTGGATCCAGACCGAATTAAGACCAGTCAGAGGTCAGGGAACGTAAAGGGGAAAAGAAACGGAATGGGATGATGGAAGAGGAGGGAAATAAGTGCAGAGGATAAATTACAACCTGCTGTCAGTTTTATACACAGGCCGCTTTCAAAACGTAGAAAAGCAGCAGCTGACATGAGCTGGAAGTGATTCCTGTCACATTTATGCCTTTAGGAGCAGCTGAATCTCCTCTGAACTCATGATCCTGAATGGAAAGGGAGCACCTTATCTGCATACGGGGGTGTGATTGGCCGCTTGATTTCCTGATGGTGTCTCCAAGCCTCTTACTCAAACATTGTCAAAAGGGTTGACTCTTACAGCTAAAGTGTCTGTGATCTGTATAGATTTGGGGTTTTTCTTCCAGTCATAAAATTGGCCTCCTGGTACATATGTGTCAAAAGCATAAGGAGGATTATTTCACTGAAAATTCAGGATTTATTTTTTTTTTTTTGGTAATTCTGTTCTTTTGAGATGTTTTTTTCTTTTTAACCTTAACAATAAGTCATATCTCTGTCATCTAAATGTAAGCCTTTGCAGCATCACTAAGGACTGCATGGATGTAAAATTGGATGGGTTATTATACTTCAAGTGCAATATATGCAAATCCTGCATGCCAGGGAAATATCTGGCCTTTTGGATCAGCTCCCACTGCTCTCCATGCCCATACTTGATGCAAATATGTAGTGGATGTGATGCTGAAGCTCGTAAATATCAGTGGAAACATTATGATGCAGGAAAAGTAATATAGGAAGTCATGAAGAAGGAAAGTGATAACTGAGTTAGCAATATTCAGGAGGTTGGAAAATGCATGTTTTGCTTAAAATGTGCAGGAGCTACTAAACTAAAGGTGTCCCTGCACAGTCGGAGCAATAAATAAAGTAGCTGAAACAGTGACGTGTGGATATCCCACAGAGTATCTGACCTGATACACAATGAGGTTCATCTGTCCACTGCGCACAGGAAGAAAGATGTTTAATGAGGTCAAAACGATCTACAAAGCTCACTGTTGGACATGTTCGGGTCACAGAGTGTCCATGCCATCTACACACAGGATAAAACCTTTTCTGTTCATCCAGCATAAACAGATTTGCCTTTGACTAAATCCTTCTGGGACTTTAACTGGAACTGTGTGCGTCGGTCTAATGGTTTAAAGATCGATCTCTTCTGCAAAAAAAGAAGAACATTCCGGGTAGGAGTGCTGTTAAAGAAGTGAACAACTAAAGAACCTCATTCTCAGCTTAAAGTACGGCTAAAGAACCATGATCCTGTGGGTCCTTTAACCCTCAACCTCTAAAACCCCACCAATTTAAAGCGTTTAAATGTGATAACTCAGAATGCATGAAAATTACACGGATAAAATATTTATGTTGACATCGTTGGAAAGCTTAGTTCTCCACAAATCATCCACCTAGTTCATTTTATGGATGTAGCAAGCACCAAAGCACAATTAACACAGATAGTAGTAGGTCAGAATGTAACATGACAAAGCAGCCACAACAAGCAAGCATGTTTTTATAACTACTGTTCAAAAACGACTTATAATTTTCGAGAATAAAAAAACAACTTTGAGTCATGTTTGAACTGATGCAGCTTGGGCTGGGTTTTACTCACCCAATTTTCACGTATATATTCTGAAAACTAGAAGGCCTTAGCTTTCAAATCACATATCACACATGCAATTTGAGCTTACAGTTCCTAAGTTATTTGTTTTTCCATTTGGGTATTCAAAATAGGCCAGAATTTCCCAAAATGAGGTGGATATTAAGAGGATAGTAGGGCAAGTTACAGTTTTTGATCACTTGCATACCCCTTACAAATGGAGTCCCCCCCCCCTTCCCTCATTGAGGTCTAGAAGCACAAGATCTATATCCAGCCATAGGGGTGTAAATCACACCCATCATGGTGATTCGATTCAGTATCGATTTCCTGACCCAATGATTCCATTATTTTTGCTACTCAAGAATACACCACAATACGATTTGATTCTATTAATGGGTTCATTTTTTATTTCATTTATTTATTTTTTTATACCTTACAGGCTTGACAATGTTTTACTCCACCTATTATAGATTCTGAAAGGCCTTACATCAAAAAATATTGCACAAAATCAGTGCAATGAGTGCAATTCAATACCTCGGCTCCAGACGTCCCCGCCCCCTCCGCAGACGCTCCGCTGCTCCTCTCCCAAATTGTAGCTGACCGCAAACAGTCCCGCAGACAGGAGGCCGGCTTATTTTGTTTTTATGACCGAAAACGACTTGTGAAGTTTGAACCGCTAGAAGAGCGAGGTGCGCGAGAACGCTGGGACCCTTTTTCCACCTGGATCTCCGCTCTTTTTGGCCCTCATGTCCCTCCGTCATTGGACCAAACTCGCCTCCACTTCCTCTCCGCCTCGGCCGTATCTACACCCACAGCGTGTAGCACAGACCACGCTTCAATATTGAGCATAAATCAAAAAATGTCTGTGTCAAGCTCACTGCAACACACTGCTGTAAGAGTATAACCAGGAAGCGAGGTAGGAGGGCAAAATAGGTTTAGCTCCACCGCAGCACGGGAGGGAGAATTACACCCAGGAGCAAATGGATAAAAATAGACCGGAGAGAAAAAAAAAAGAAAAAACATGATTCGATTCTCTTGCGGACGTATCGATGCTTCGGATCGTCGGCTGTTGGATCGATGCATCGATACAAAATGATTATTATTTACAGCCCTATCCAGCCATTCAGCAAATATACTGCTACATGGCTGTACATCTTATTTTTGTATTTGACCAATTAGGTGAGCCCTTTAATGATGTATTACCTGCAGTAAATTAAGTTGAATAAGAAATTTAAGTCAAGAAAACAAAGATAAAAAGCTGATTGAAAAGTTAAAAAGTAAAGTTAAAGCTAATAAGCCTAGTTAACAATTAGATTTAGGTTTATAAACTAAAAAAAATGTCAGTGCCAGTATCTGCATTAATGCCTCTAAGGTTAAGTTGTACCAAAAATGTTTAATTCATTTCTTATAGAAGCACTTTGTTATTTTTCTTAATATATTCAGGAAAGTTGGTGTTTCCATATTTTCCATATTATCCATATTTTTTTTATGTTACAACGGTAATAAAGTTATGTCCTGGATTCCAATAACAATATTGGCTTGAAATTTAGATTTTACAAAGTATTTCACTGAGTGGCCTATAAAGGGCTAAAGACCCTGAATGGTGAGAAAGGTTAATGTGTGTAACGGATGAGAAAAGCTGCAGACCTAACGGTCAACTGCAGCAAAAAGTGCCGCTTCGTCTTCAAGTTTTCATTAAAATCAATCATTTTTAGGATTTTCATCTGTCGTCTGGGACGATGATAGTATTTGGAAGTTGATAAGAACAGAGGACATTTTTATTCCCTCCTAACTTTGAACTTTAAATAAGTAGAATCTTTCACCTGGAAATAAAACGGAAATATAGTTTGATATAAACAATGCTTTATGTGAAGGATACTCCTGAAAACTTCTCATTATTTAATTCCCATGGTTCAGAGTGTAATAGCTCTTGTTTAAAGTCACATACCTTGCTGTATGTGTACCAGTATTGTCTTTGATATAAGGGAACTGAAAATGGTGCAAATTGTTAATTTTTTTTCTATACAATTATTTGATGGAAATGCATTCTTTAAAATGCGAGCCTTAAATATTAAATCAGACCAATACAATAAAAAACCTCAGTTTATATCAAGACTTTACTTCCGTCAATGCAACTTTGCATCAATGTGATCTGCCTGTGGCAATAAGTTCCCTTGTATAGGGGGTCATTTTTATTCCTTCCACTAAACTTTTGATTAATTTGCATTCTTCCCTCAGTTCACACAAGTTCCTTTAGCTATGATATATGTTTTATATGTATCACCCTCCTTGTGGAGGTTGTTAAACTGTCTGCTGCATATCTGTCAAGGCAGCAGTCTTCCTCTAACCTGGCTAGCTAGATTGATAATGTGCTGCACTCAGGTTTGGTTCTACACATGATCAATCTGGGACTGCTGCCTTCAACTGGAAGGAAGTTTTAAAAAGAATCTTTAGAGCTGATTGGATGAGGCGACACCTAGATCCCGCCTACAAAGTCTGGGTTTTAGCCATTAATGGTAACAAATGAAGATTTGGGCAGCATTTATTAGAATTTCTTGTGCTATTATTGGCCAATAAGTCCATGCTTTTGGTGATTTATTAGTGCATTCAGCAGCCATGCCTTGAGATCAGGTGAAACTCATGCATTGCCACTACCTCCATTTGGTATCTGTTGTTGATAAATTTAGTCTGGCCCCGATGAATGAGACATCGGAAGATTGTTGATGAGAACAACCCGTTTTCAAACCGCTGTCGGTGCTTTTAGGCCAACATTCTGACCAATGAGCGCAGCTGACTGTGACGTAGGAAGCCCGACAGAAAGCTGATGGGGGAGTGTAAACAAACAGCCTGTCGATAAAACGGCGAATATGTCCTTCTTAAAAATGAATGAGCGTAGAGCCTCTTCCTGCTCATGTTTCAACGAAAACTCCCAAGTCTAATCCTTCCAAAACTGATTCCAAAGCTGAGTCAAACGACAACTGTTCAATAGTTGTTGCCATCTTCCCTGTTGTGCTTTCTCCAGCGTTACGCTGCTTTGTTGTCATGCCCTCAAAACCCCGCCCACTTCGCATAAAGAAATTCAAAACCCATCCCTGCGTTGTGATTGGTCCGCCAGTTCTAGGGCCTGGGGTATTGATCGAGGCTAGACCATTCGCAAGCAAAAATGTATTGGCACTAAAAAAAAAACACCTGGGTCCCTTTATATGGTCAGCTGACGCCATGAGAAACAACCACTTAAATATTTAGGCTGTCGCTGTTCCTCTGTTATGGACGAAATCATGGATTCTGACAGAACAGATGCAGCAGCTATATGTCCCGAATCAAACCATAATGTGATTGGCCGACCCCTTTTGGGTTGCCCTCAAAGGGTTGAATATATATATCATCATAATACTTAACGATCATCATAATACTTAACAGAAATGAATACCTTTCAGTCTGTGTAGTTAAATGATGTGCATCTGTTCTTTCATAGATTGAATTACTACTATAATTACCTTTTCAAAGAAATGGTAATTGACTCCAGACGCACGCCTACATTCTCATTGGAGAATATCTGCTGGATAAGCTGAGTTTTTGTTGCATCTTTAGATATATCCAGTTAAGGACACTGTTGTTGTTTGAATGACGGAAAGCAAATGCTGGAACAGATGAACACGTCTAAGAAGGGTTAGAGATGGGCACCAGAGAGGGAGGGGGGGGGATAAAGAGGCAGCATATGCTAATGAAAGCATGTGCATCGGATGGCGAGAGCCACGACGCTGCATCCCCGAGAGCACGCCGCCGATCTGCAGAAAGGTCATCAGAGCGGATTGGTGGGGGGGGGGGGGTGGAGGCCTCCCAGGCTGGATAGACTTTCTCTCTTCTCGCTTCCTTCTCTCTGTGGTTCAGATGGCTTCTGAGCGGAGGCGGCGGTGAGCCGATAATCGGGGCGGTAAAGCCACCTCATTCCCTCGTCTCAGTCTCTAATGAAGTCCCCGCTATTAAAGCTCTGTAATTCTTCCATTCCTCTGAGCGCCCCACCGCCTTTCCTTTTCCTGTCCTTTCCTGATTCCTTCCTTCCTCTTCACTCTGTCTTTCCATGTTTCCAGCCTTTATGCAGCCCCAGACTCTCTGTCCTCTACAATCATAATTGAATAACTGGCTGAATGAGGAGCAGGTCTCCTGAATTGGAGACTTAAAGTGCATCAATCAGGGATTTGATTGAAAAGAGAAATGGTGAAAGAAAAGGAGAAAGGGAGTTTATGTGATGACTACACGTCACCTTGCCGATAACTCCCTTTCTCCTTTGATATGCAAATACGGGCAAGGACAATGAGGTTTTATAGAAAATGAGTGTTGGAACGAGCTCTGGAGTCGCTGCCTATCACTGGCAGCTTTATATTTATCTTTTTAAACAATAAAACAAGTGACAGTCGCTTCAAAAAGCTCCAGGATGCAAATTGTCAGCATGTGTCTGATCTTTACTTTCCTGTAAAATACATTTGTTTCTCAGAGTCCGTTGCGTCACGCTGAAGCAGCTAAAGGCAGGCGCTCACTTAGAATAAGGAGCAAAACAACTATTTAAAAATGAAGATGGTGAGAATCATTTTTTGCTGTTGACAGGTACCAGAAGCTGTGGAAGAGTTATGTGAAGCTGCGCCACCTGCTGGCCAACAGCCCAAAGGTCAAGCAGATCGACAAGCAGAAGCTGACACAGAGAGAGGTGGGTGGAGAGAAAAACACAAAGTGATATGAGTTTTTTTTAACCTATGGGGTTAGCTCTTGGAAAAATGTCTGCAGAATCTGATTTCCAGAGAGCTAAATTAAGGTCCTTATTGCTAATATGTGTTAAATATTATTAATCAAAAAGGAGTTATTATTTTTTTTTGTTAGAATTACTTTAAATGCTGATTTGAGGAACTAAAGTGTATTTTTGTTTGGAATATGGTGTGATGGGACACAGTTCTTCAGAGTTTTTTCTCCGGTTTACAAACTGGGCCCGCTGCATGTGAATATATATCCATGTGAAGAGCTGCCACTCACAGCTTAGCCCCTCCCTGCCCGTAAAACCCCACAGAGAGAGTAGGAGCAAAATGCTAGAGAGCGCATTCAGTGTTAAACCTTGCTCTACTTCTAAGCCATGCAGGACACGGGGCACTCAGATGTATATTTATTACCTTTTTGAATCAAAGTTATTAACACAACCTCAGAGAATTAAAGGTATAGTGGAGGATTTTTCATGAATTTTAATTAAAAAGCCGCCATCCCCACTTAAATGGAAACGCCGTTTTTTTTTTTGTTTTTGTTTTTTTTTACATTGGGCCCTTGATTTTACGTTATTACATCATCCCCTAGACATCAGCGCATCATCCGAGCGCCGGCTACCGTTCATTCCTGCTGCTAGTTTTACTCACATGCCTGGAAGATGTCTAGTGCTACTACCATAGATGATCTCGCTCTGGAAATGGAATTGAACGATTCAGATTAGCTAGCCGAATGAATAGAAGGAGTAAAGCGTAGCCGCCTGTGGCCCGGGCTGCCTGTCATGACTACAGTCCGGTGCGCGGATGATGTCATACACACTCCGCTTTGTTTAAAAAATATATAAATATAACAAATCTAACCGCGGATGTCTGGGGGACAGTGATTCGCCTACATGTTATGAATGCTGGTGCACCATAAAGAATAAATTATGAACAGTTTAGTTTGTGCCTTCAAGTCGTTGCCCATAGGAAGACGTCACTTGGATATAACCTCACGGAATATCTTCAGAACAGCTCCAAATGACACAAAACTCACATGGGTGAGGAGAATATGATGTAATAACATAAAATCAAGGGCCTAATGTAAAAAAATACGGTGTTCCCCTTTAAAAAAATAAAATGCACATGCACAACCCTGTACCTGCTTCTGAGAATCCCATTTCTGCTTGTGCACGCTTTGTTTAAAAGTTGCTTTTTTTCCATGATGTCAGACTCACCACAGGTAAGTGAAAATGGGGACGAGCACGTAGGACGGTCTTTACTAAACATATCACCAGAATGATTGACAACTAGGAGGACCACTTATTTAGATGGTCCACCCAGAAAAAAGAAAATTCTCGGGTGGAAATGATGCATAAAGCTGGGAAGTCCAAAACCTTAAGAGATCTATGGCATCCTGACACAGGTTTTTGGTTTATATATAGAAAGACAGCTGGTTTGCAGTTCTTACAGCAGCCTGATTGAGTTTAATAAATGCTGTCAATTATTCTACTGGCTCAACTTACAGGAGGCCTGAACAGACCAGGGAAAAAGAGTCGAGCTTTAACCTGCTTTATACAGCTTCTGCCATTTCTCACACTGTTAACCATTTTCTCTAATAGTCACTTCACTTTAATCCGAAAACTAGTTCAGTTTTTAAAAAGTTCCCTTTTAGTTTTCTGGTTTATTAGCAGAAACTAATGGATAAGTTCTGGCAGTATTGGAGTATAATCTTAAATTTCCAGCAATGGACCTTCTAAGTGTTAAAAATGAATTAAAAGTATCCTGTCGGGTATTTTTTTAAAACCTATATCTTCAAATTTAGAAGTTTCTAAAGTCACAAAAGCACTTTGTTAGAACTATTGATAGTAGCTTCAGAGTAATTGCAAGGTAAGCTGTTAGTGTAAGTATTGCAGTGTGAGCTCTCAGTCCAACCATAGCGACCTGTAAGTTCAGAATCCATTTTAATGTTCAGAATGGCGTTGAAAAAGCAAAGTATCTGAGGATAAATGGTTTCTGGGAAAGCCCAGACAAAGTAACCTGTAAGTAATGCTCAAAGTAGCCTGGAACATAATGCATGGGTAGAAACCATTCTAAATGAACCCTGATGTTTGGTTTCTGATATCAAAGAGAGATTTTCCTAGAAAGGTTTTTGTTAGTAATCAGAAAGTTATCTGTAGCTTCTAAGAAAGCACTGAAAAGGTAACTACAAGGTAATGGAGAAAATGTTACTGCGGACACAGTTAAGATAATCTGTATGTTGTTGAGGTTTCAATAATGAATAATTGAACTTAATTTTTTCACATTGGAGAAATTAACCTGCCATCGTGGGGTGCCTGGGGAGCAGTGTGGGGTTAAGGGTCTTGCTCAGGGACCCAAAGTGGCAGTCTGTGGGATTCGACCCTTTAACTCCAAACTCTATGCCCTATCAATTAGGCCGCCACTTCCCAATAATGGCCACGTTCTAAAGAAGCTGAGAAAGTAGCCAGTAGGATCCTTCAAAGTACCTGATAGTAACATGTAATCTTTAAAAGGTTCCCTAAGTAGGACATAAAATTAAATTTCCTGTAGAGTTACCAAATAAAACGTAGACTAAAATTCCTTCTGTTTAAAGAATGAAGATATCACAACTTCTTGGCTTGTCTGGAAATAGAATAAATTTCAAAAGAAGTAAAAATTGAAATGATGTTTTAGGTTAATATCCATTTTTTTCTTGACTAACATTCTTCTCAGTGTAAAGTTTTCCTTTTCAATAACAGCCTTTTCCTTCTATTTGGACTAAAAAAGGCTAGATCTCTCTGCAGAAGTTGGACGGTATCATCCGTTCAGCCATTGTTTTAAGTCGGGCATGAAAAATGCAAAGCCCCCTTCTTTTTACTGCGTAATTGAGATGAATTTACAGCTGTGAATAAAACGGCAGTAACAGCTCTCCTGAGTCCGGAGTGAAGGTCAGCCCACCGCTGGGGAGGGTGGATGGAAAAGGGTTAGATTTGGTGAAGTAATGACCATGTAGCCACAGGGAATCCCACAGTCGCAGCGCTGCGTGTGTGGCCCTGAGCGAGCGCAGAACAAGCTCTTTCCTGCGCTTCCTCATCCATCCAGAAACGTCCGTTAGTGCCGCCGACCTGGGCTCCTCCTTCAGTCCGCTTGAGTCGCTCTGAACCAATAATGAGCCAGAACTCAGAACTTTGAGCTCAATTAGTTTGTTTCCCAGGTAGCCCTGCAAAGCTCTCCCTGCTAAAAGGCCCTGACAATCCCACTGTCAACCTGTGCCGGAGCAATTAGTGAAGCCAAACACATGCACACTCACACTCTGGGTCCATCAGACTCCACCAGAAGCATTAGCTGTGTCAGAGTGTCTTCACTGCAGTGGCACTGCTGCTTATTTAATGCCTGAAGGAACACTGAACACGTCCTCTACAAGAATAAAGCTTCTGATGGGCATTTTCTACCCCGTTGAAGGTTTTCACACCAGCCGTGTGACGAGAAACGACTCTCACATCAAAGCTGCAAACATCTGTCATGACACATCATTAGGAAGGCTATTTCATTCCTTTCTTCTGGATTATTTTAATCTATTCATCTAAGGAAGTGGTTCCAACTATAAGATGTATCCCAGAGATATTCTGCTGCAATGTCTGAAAGGATCTCTAATATAGAAAAGTATTAAACGGACTCTGAATTCAACCTTGACTTGAATGGGCTCAGCATATGTGGATGTAGGGATTTGCTCTGATTCTTCTCTGCAGGTCTGCAGAAACTAGGCGAGTCCCTTATTAAAAAAAAAAAAAAAAAAAAAAAAAAAAAAAAGCTCCCAGTTTGTCTTTTTGCAGTTTTGATTTCTTTTCTAAGACCTCTCTCCAATTTAAACCATAGGGAAATGTAGAAGAACTTTAAATGAACTTAGAACATGCAGATTTCTGAAATAAAGTTTGAAGCTCTTATTTATCTCTTATTTCTTATATCTTTCCTCCCACTAGACATTTTCGTTGTAACTACTGGAAGTGGTATCAATTAGGAGTTTTTCTGCATCTCTTTGGACTTGATGCTTTTTAAAACGGTTTCCATCCAGTTGCTACTCTTATACTTTAGATTTAACCTTAGACAAACTTTATTGTCATGTCATATACAGTGTATACAAAACAAAATTTCAATGCGTACATCTTTCAACAATGAATGAGCAGCTTACAACAGTGAAATTAAGATTATAAAGTGCAGCAGTGATCAGAATATAAACAGTGTAGGAGAAAATGAAAGCCAGTTAAAAGTCATGGTGCAAGAGACATTAATACGAACGTGTTCAATTAAATATGGTGCAAAATGCATTGGAACATAGAGTTGTGTTCTATTTAAAGGATTATGAAAAAAACTCACCCATGTTGGTAGAGCAAATATGATGTTCACAGTGTGATGCATAGACTTGATTAGAGTTTCCACAGTTCAACAGTGTGTTGGCAGTGAGGAAGAAGCTGTTGCAGAACCTGCTGGACCTACAGTGGAAGCTGCAAAGCCTCATCCCTCTTTAAGGAATAAACCAATTTTTATTTTAGCTCATACCACACAAAAAATAAAAACTGGGCATTTAGGTCTGTATTTGTAATGTCAGGCTTTCCTCAAAAACAACATGGTCTAAGTTCTTTAGTTACGGCATAAACCAGCTCATAATCCCCCTCACCCCATTTCCACATTAGGCAAGGCAAGGCAAATTTATTTGTATAGCACAATTCAGTACAAGGACAATGCAAAGTGCTTTACATGATTAAAATACAGGAAAATAAAACAAAGCAAGTAGAAAAAAAATAAATAAAATAAAATAAAAATGCAGACACAAAAAAGAATATTAAAAACAGTTGGACTAAAGAAAATAAAAGTTGAATTAATGATGTTTCAGTTGCACTGTTTAACTAGAACAGTTGAAGGCAATCCTAAACAAATGTGTTTTTAGTGTTGATTTAAAGGAACTCAGGCTTTCCGCACTTTT